TTTCACAACAGTGACTTTTGAATAAATTTAAACTTAATTAATTTTAAAAAATCTTAACCTTTGAACGGCTGTTTTGGAATTGTGTGGTTAATGTCGGTTTGTAATATGGACAAGGAGGCTCCACCTTCAACGTCGCCTGCCAATGTGGATGTTGGCACAGCTGCGGATGAGTCAGCGGAGATGAGCGTCCCTTTAGACTTGTCTTATGTTCGTGATACTCCTGCTCTTGCACCAAGTCTGCCTTCGTTCAACAGCATGAATTAACACGTTAGGAGGAATATGCCTGCCTATACTACAAAGCTGCCTGATTTAACTAGGAGCAAGATAATCTTTGACGGTAAGACCTGTGTTAGAGAATTTATCACTCGTGTTGAGGATTACTTTGTATTCAGGAACTTTCATGAGGCCGTGTTGATTGGTTCGTTTGCTGATCTGCTTGCTGGTACTGCTGCCAAGTGGTTTAGGACTATTCGTAGGAAGATCTCTTCGTGGGTTGAGCTTAGGGCTGCCTTGCTTAGACGTTTTGATAGGCCGGACTATGATAGCTGTTTGGAGCATGAACTGCGCATTCGCAAACAAAAGCCTAGTGAGTCTCTTCTAGATATAAAAATTTCAGGGTTGATGACCACACATTGTATAAATTTTGTAAGAATAAATTCAATCCGGATAGTAGATTAAATTGGAAAATTGTTATTCCTAAGGAACATATTTTGGATACTATTAAGTCAAACCATGATGATATAAATTCTGGTCATCTTGGGATTCATAAAACTATTAAGAAATTAAAACAACATTATGTTTGGAACGGTATGTTTAATGATGTTCAAAATTACATTAGATCTTGTGACATTTGTAAAGCCTATAAACACAGCACCTCTCAACCTTTTGGCATTATGGTTAACCCAAAGAAAGTAGACCGTCCTATGGTCATGCTTTCGCTTGATATAATTGGAATCTTGCCTAAAAGTTATTCTGGACATAAATATATTCTTTCAGTTGTAGATGTTTTCACAAAATTTTGCTGGGTTTTTCCATTAGTAAAAGCAACCACCTTATCCGTTTGTAGAATCCTTGAAAAAGAGATATTTCTTAAATTTGGTTGTCCTAAATTAATAGTTTGTGATAATGGTACTCAATTCACTTCTAAACATTTTGTAGATTTCATGAAGGGTTACAACATTACTAAAATTTTTTATAACACATTGTACACACCTCAAAATAACCCTGTGGAGAGGTACAATAAGACGGTAGAGACTTGTATTTCATGTTTTGTTAAAGAGGACCAACGTTCTTGGTCCAAATTTTTGCCTCACGTTCAATTAGCTTTAAACAGTAGTGTAAATTTGGCTACTGATTTTACTCCTAATTTTCTTATGTTTGGTAGAGAGATGATTGTTGATGCTTCTCTACACCGTTTTAGCAATTCTTTGAGTAATTTAGACCAGCTTGAGTTTGGTGAAAGGGACTCTTATGCCCTTTCTCTTAAATCACTTAGTGATATTTTTGTTAGAGTTGAGTCTCATTTGTTGAAGGCGTATAAACGTAATGCGCGTTATTATAATGTTGGAAGGAAGACTATTTCTTTTGATGTGGGTGATATTGTTTGGAGAAGAAGTTTTGTTCAGTCTAATGCTCCAGCTTATTTTTCGGCAAAGCTTGCACCTAAGTTTATTAAATGTAAAATTATAGAGAAAATTTCAGATAACGTTTACCTTTTGCAGGACCTTTCAAAGAACACCACTGGTCGCTATCATATCTATACTAATATTATAAAGCTGAAGAGTTTGTTTGTTTGTTTGTTTGTTTGTTTGTTTGAACGCGCTAATCTCAGGAACTACTGGTCCGATATAAAAAATTCTTTCAGTGTTAGATAGCCCATTTATCGAGGAAGGCTATAGGCTATATATCATCACGCTAAGACCAATAGGAGCGGAGCACCAATGAAGAATGTTTCATAAACGGAGAAAATTTATTACTATTTAGAGACGCAGACGAAGTTGCGCGGGTCAGCTAGTTAAAGATATTATTAAATATTAAAATTTCACTATTCGGTCATTAACTTTAGATCTTAATTTGATATATTTGTTGGATTCTACATTTGTGTGAGGAAGTATGTAGATTGTTGTATGCTAGGTTATTGTAGTTTGTATGTTGATGTAGTGTAAGGTATTCTTACCGATATATTAATTTTAGGGTTTAAAAGTTCAAAAGTTACTTAGGTCTTTTTGGTTTATTAATTTCAGGAACTTCATTCATAATAGAGACCACATCAAAAGAATATTTTGTTTGTATTTTGTTTGCACTTCTACCTAGTGTAGAGTGTTTTGTTGGAGTAAGGTTCACCCTCTTTTCAAGGGTTGAACGGGTTGTTTGTTGGATTCACACTTTTTTTCAGGTGTTGAATGTTTTGTTTCTTGTTGGATTCACTCTTTTTCAGGTGATGACTGGTTTGTTGGTTGGATTCACGTTTTTTAAGCGTTGGATGTTTTTGTTTGCTTTCTGTTGCATTGTGCCCGGTAGTTCGGTGGGGTTGAGCCGATCACAATGCACAGGTTTTTTATATATTCACACCGTCTTGTTGTGTTGAATATTTTTGTTTGGTTTCTGTTGCATTGTGCCCGGTAGTTCGGTGGGGTTGAGCCGATCACAATGCACAGGTTTTTTATATATTCTCCCCGCCTTGTTGGGATGAATATTTTGTTTGGTTTCTGTTGCATTGTGCCCGGTAGTTCGGTGGGGTTGAGCCGATCACAATGCACAGGTTTTTTATATATTCACACCGTCTTGTTGTGTTGAATATTTTTGTTTGGTTTCTGTTGCATTGTGCCCGGTAGTTCGGTGGGGTTGAGCCGATCACATTACACAGGTTTTATATATTCTCACCGCCTCGTTGTGATGAATATTTTGGTTTGGTTTCTGTTGCATTGTGCCCGGTAGTTCGGTGGAGTTGAGCCGATCACAATGCACAGGTTTTATATATTCTCCCCGCCTTGTTGGGATGAATATTTTGTTTGGTTCGACATGTTTGACATGTGTTTGAATGTTAGGGTGAAGCGTTTTGTAACTCCATTAGAGTCGGTGACGAAGGTGTCCAACCGCACTTCTTGGATATTGATATCTTTGAGATATGCATTTCCTGATGGATGTTGTTTTGTTTTGTGTAGTTCGTAACTCCATTAGAGTCGGTGACGAAGGTGTCCAACCGCACTTCTTGGATATTGATATCTTTTAAGATACAATTCCTAATGGATGTTGTTTGTGGAGTTTACTTTGTTGTTGTTAGTGTATTTTGTTGTAGTTTGCAGCTCCATTAGAGTCGGTGACGAGGGTGTCCAACCGCACTTCGTGGAAACTGGTATCTTTTTAGATATACAGTTCCCAATGGAAGCAGTTTGTGTAGTATATTTTGTTGTGTTTGTAGCTCCATTAGAGTCGGTGACGAGGGTGTCCAACCGCACTTTTTGGACTTTCCAGTCTTAATGGTAGCTTGGTGTAGAAATTTGTTTTTGGGTTTGTGTGTTTTTGTTGTAGAGTATATTTTGATCTTATATTTAGTTTCCTAGTCCTTTTTGGCGTATGGATTTTTGTATTCCTGGAGTTTGTAGAGTTTTAGTAGAGTTTTTGGTAGAGTCAGTTTTGGAGTTTAGACATTTTGCAATCTTTTTGTTTGATATATTTTGTTGAGTAGTGACTTTTCAGCATAAAAGAAAGAGTCCTTTCTTTTATTTTTTTTCGGGAAGGTATGTAATGTAACGGTGCATTTCGCGCCATTACAGTAATTTGAACCTTTGTCTCGTTTTTGTTTTGTTAGATTGAATTTTTTGTCGTTTCTGCGAGTGCCGATGGTCGAGGGACGGACGAGAGTAATAATCGATGTTGTTCGCCCGCGATTAGTTAGTCGATTTAGTTTTTCTTGTTCTGGCAACATTTTTGTTTCCCCGCTCTATGAAGCGAGAGGCTATTGCACTGGTATCACTTTGACTTTCACTTTTGGACCGGCCGCCGAGAGAAATGACGCAAAACCGTTTTGTCATTTAATTTTTTAGAAATCCGTATTTATTTGATATGGACGAGGGCCTATTTCCTCTTTAAATGCTTGGCCAACCTAGTTAAGACTCGAGCTAGTGGATCGAGTGATTATTTTTGATAAAAAAGGTGAGTTTGTTCGGCCACGTGCTTCATGCTTGGCTTGGCGGAATTTGTGGTTTTAACTCTTTGTTTAATTGGTTACAGGCAATGCTTATAATGCTTATAATGCCGCTGCTTGATTTGTGAAGCATTTTAGAACCCTGGTAAGTGAAATATGATTTCTTGTCAGAGTTATGGTTCATCTTGTGAGATAGGCTTTTAACCTATAATTTTTCCTTATTTGCAGATGAATCAGGGTTCTTTTCTTTTTTAGCTTATATCTAAAGCCTTTACATTACCTAAATTATTTTACTTTCTTATTGGAATGTCCTTGCGTGGCATTCGATGTTTGTCTCTCGCCGGAGTTTGACCCCAAGAAATTAGATTGCTGTGGAGCACCGGATTGGTAGAAAAAGCTGCTTAGCTGCACGCCATCGTCTGGAGCAGGGGAGTACTAACCCGCCTCTTACACCACGTGGGAACCGGAGTGAGAAGTTTCGGAGTTGGTTTGATTTCATTTCGTTCGGACTGATCCAAGGTCATCGGTATGTGTTTTTGTTATATTTTTCTTGGCGACGTGGCATTGAATACTGCAGGTCCCTAAGGGGTGTTATTTTGTTTCTATTTGATGCCACCAATTTTAGTTATATTTTTTTTATAACACACCCCACAACATAATTTAAATTTTTTTATTTTTTATTATTACAGAAGTTAGAAAGGAACATAACAATATCCATATCCATAACATTTCATTAAAAATAACACTTTTAAAAACCAACTATAGATGGCTATAAACAGGCAGGCATTTATTTACGCAAGTAATCCTATACAGATTACTTTGGTGGTTTAATGTGTAAAATTTATTTTAGAAAATGGAGGTATCACATTCACTAACTCTGAACGAGTCAGCCCTGCAGCAGCTCCCTGATGACAAGAAGCCTCATTTTATATTTGAGTGGCTCAGATTCCTTGATAAAGTGCTTGTTGCTGCACACAAGGTAATTACCCTATTCATATTGTTGTTTTAATATTATTTATACTCTATAATACTGTAAAGATATGATAGAAGTGTGATGTTAGCTCTCCTAACTTTAAAGGGTGATTCATAAACATTTCCCGAATAAAATGTTTTTAAAGAATCATATCCTAGGCCTTTAGATTTTGTGAAAGGGATCTTCACACCAAATTACAAAACAAAAATAAGTGTGTGTGTGTCACCTCTGACGCACGAGTGGAGGTTCAGATGAGCTAAGGACGATTCGATGCACACAAGTATACAAGTTATACACACACATATAAAAGGAGTAATTTTGTGAGGCAATAGTACGGACGTCCCCGCTGTTTTTACTAAGCAAAAGGCATTGATTAGAGTCTTGGTCAATATAAAAAATACTGACACATGTAAACCACACTTTCAAGAACTCAAAATCCTAACATTACCATGCATCTACATCTTGGAATTATGTAAACTTGTTCGTAAATATCCGGAACACTACACCAAGCGCAATGATATCCAATCCAAAATGACCTAAGACACAAAAGTAGATTAAATCTTCCTACTTCAAGATTAGCCATTCACTCCTCTGGACCATTGGTCATGTCAGTAAAAGTATATAATAGGCTACCAAACGAAATCAAAAACGAAAATAAATACAATACTTTTGTTAACAAATTAAAAAAAACTTCTAATAAATAAATGCTACTACAGTGTCAAGGAATACTTAGAAGATAAATTATAAACTTTAAATAACTAAAATTAATCATTATAAACACATACCAGTATAGACATGAAATCTAATAAATTTACATTTAATAAATATTAATATATAATGAATGACTATGCAATAAATTGATATACAATGAATGGTAAAATAATTTTGTACTGACATTGTTCATTAATAAATTTATTAAATTATCAACAACTACATCCTATTATGAACATGCAAGTTAAATATACTATTTGGTTTAATTAGTTTATCTCGTTTAAAGCAGAAAATGTTGGTATTGAAATCAAGCTCTTCAAACTAGCATAATTAGGCAGCTCCTCCTCTCTCCTGATAGTGCTGTGCCCGACAGGGTCCATAATTGTTATCTACTTTTAAGCCTACCACCTGAATGTACATTATGGAATGCAATAAATTGAAATTGAAATTGAAATTGAGTGCACGATAGGTTGCGCACAAAAAACGTAACGAGGTCATTCGATCGCAAAATTTTACTCTTTATATTTTTTCCATACCGGGCGCGTTCTTTGAAAAAATTTCACGAACTCGTGGCAGAGACGTATTGGACGTGTGTGACGTTGCTCCGTCCTGCTGGAACCATGTTCTTTAGTTATGGCTGCATAACGCTCTGAATTCACTGTAACTGCACGCCCCCTTTCGTCTTCAAAAAAGTAAGGGCCGATAATTCCTCGCGCCGACATCGCAGCCCATACTTTCACTTTAGGCAATTCTGCTTATTTACGTGTCCATTAGCATGAAAATGAGCTTCATCCGAAAACAAGATGTTGGTACACGTTGAAAAGCGCTCAATCGCCTGATTTACGAAGTCAAGCCTCTGACTGGCATCTTGGGGCTTTAATTCTTGCACCAATTGAATTTTGTAGGGGTGCAGCTTTAGGTCTTTGTGCAAAATGCGGTGTAATGATGATCTATGCACATTTAAAGCACTTGCGCGCTTCCGAATTGAAAGGTTCGGGTAGTCACGAACAGACTGATTAACACTCTCCACGTTTTCTACCGTTCTTGATGACCTTGGTCGCCCGGATTTTGGTTTTTCCAGCGTTGTACCGGTCTCTTCAAACTTTTTGACCCATTTTCGAATAAGAGAAATGCTTGCCGCATCATTTAAATGGCGAAAACCTCGAACACTACAGAACCTTCTACGCGCTACAGTCGCCGAATCACCGTTTTTGTGAAACTCTCGCACTCACAACGTACGGTCTGCTCCCAAGAAACGCTCCATAGCAACTGAATTCCCAAGAGCCAGGCTACCGATCGACATAACCCCCGTGCCCCTCAGACTCGTTGCGTTCACGCAGTAAGCTAAATAAATATAAACTTTCTTTTGAGACACCTTGTATAATATTGCTTAACTACTTATAAAGGTGTATGAAACATGCTTTCCTGAGCCTTTGCTAAAATTCAAATTCAAAATTCAATATCAAAATGTTAAGAAATTTTGTGATGTATTTGTTGGCACTCAAGTCAAAAAGAATTAAGTTGAGGGAGCCTTACAGTAGTCATATCTGATACGTAAGATCTGACAAATAACCTTGATAATAAGCATCATGAACATTATATCCTAAAAAAACGATTCAGGTATTACTTGAAATTATTTTTAGTAACAAAGAAGATTCTTGTTAGTGAAATTGTATTTTAATTTTTGGTGCCATGCAATTTTTCATTTAGTAATATCTTACGGCAAAGTACGAAAACATTTACGAACTTCTTATTTTAAAAATGCTTCCACATATTGCATGAAAGCAAGAGGACAGATGTTCAGGACACACCAAAAATAAACAGAAATTACTTCTTGACAATGAATTTTATAACTGATAATAATTATTATTTATTTATTTCTTATCACAAATGTGCATCGTATACACTATCGTCGCTTAATCTAACTTAAAGTAAAAGAAACAATACATTTGTGAGAGACTAGTGCCCAAAATAGGTATAGGAATAAAAAATTATGAATAAACATAAATAATGTTCAATTCTGACCAACACAAAAACATAAATTGTTTATGTTTACAAAAGCTATTTATAGAGACTCACTTGTGTTCTTATTTTTTGTTATCCATGTGTTTCTTATACCTCCATCACATTTAAATGATGCAATCAGCTTTTGAACTTTCCATTAAAACCATGTCTCTTAAATAACAGGGTTCAAAGCTGTTTACAGTCAAAACTTGTCAAATTCTAATCACTTAACATTCAACCAATCAATTATTTATTCTATTCAAACTCATCACTACTGGTATGATCGTTTTAAGCTACTTGGCCACTAACTCAATGCGTATCTGGTAAATCCTAAGTGACGGCAATAGTATGATTTACAGGGGCTGTTTTGCGCTTATACGCCATTTGAGGCACCCTAACTTCCCGACGATTCCCAGTATGAGACAATCTCATCGTTGGGAAGTTATCTGTAGCACCTATAACAGAAAGGTGTTTGTTAAAGGAGCCATGCCTTTTTTTTGACGGGGTACAAAATTCCTTCGGATCTCCTGCTGGGAACTCAGGAGCCAGAAGTATGTGGTGATTCCACTAAAAACCACCACGGCTTCCGCGCTCTAGCGTCCTACTCTGGGAGGACTCTGACCATGTAATTTCAGGTCCTCCCCGACATGACACTACGCCCAATCAGGCCCTATCCCATGGGAAATGGCTTCCCCCCCAATCGTGGCGTTCAGACGCCCACGCAGGGCAGTCTTCCCAGTCCCAGTCGGCTGCACAGTGCTGGCACTAGCCATTTCTTAACGTCCGATCCGATTCAGGTACTCACCCAAGCAACCATGCCCAGTGAGTACTTGCGTCAGTCGGTAGGTGACGCAAAGGAGCCATGTCTTGTAACGAGGCTTGTCTTAACAAAATAGCGACGACAACAGTCGGCGATTGCCCATTTCAATTAAACGCTGCAGAGTAGCATTTGACAAGATTATAAATAATTTTCGCTCTTTAGGTAAAACGTTTTGTGCCAGAGTTGAGAGTTTTTACATATATCCTTTCACAAATGTATATCTAATTTAATTATGCTTAAACTTAGGAGGTAGTAAAAATTATGCGGAACTTCTTCAAATGCGGAAGCAGTCTGATGTATTGTTCAAAAATACCTTGGTAATGATTTAAAATGGTCATGGCCATAGTCATTTAATAAATAAGTGTTAAAAAAATGTCTTCAGCTATCAATTTTGTCTATTTTAGATGTAATTTAAACTTTTATTAGATCAATAATGTAATTTGAATCATTATTTAGCAAAATGAATTATTCCCCTATTAGGTACATTTTATTGCATTGCTTATTAGTTTTTGCTACCCAACTGTTCTGTACACACAGCAGTTAGCCTCGTAGATATTGTTTTTGTTAAAGAGATTTCTCTTTAAGATTCTATTTGCTATTACGGCCGGATGGCATAGTAGTTTGTGTAAGGTCGCGGGTTCGATTCCCGCTGGCTCGCGAAGGCAAACAATTGTGTGCATGAACATTTAATGTTTAATTTGGTCTGGGTGTTTGCATGTATAACGTATGTACATATTTATATCAGTTGTCAGATGCCCATAGTACAAGCTCTGCTTAGTTTGGGACTAGATAACGTTGTGTGAATGAGGTAGAATATTATCATCATTTAAGCAACTACAAATTACTTTTATACAGTCTGACATCAAAAGCTGCCAACAGAAGCTAGTGGCTCAGTTAGTAAATCTCCTACGAGAAAACCTCGGAGCACCTGCAAGAAGACTTTTGGCAAGGAACTTGGCTACATTATTCTCTGTTGGAGACACCTTTCTACTATTTGACACCGTGAATAAATGCAATGATATCATCAAGGTTAAGGATGATTCACCATCATATTTGCCCACTAGATTGTAAGTATTTCAATAACATTTGTCTGAATTAGTGTAACCATCTATGAACTTATATTTTTTATGTTTAAATTAGAGAAATATGTATATCGAGGTAGTGAAGTGAAGTTGTAAACATTGGCTTGTCACATCAATTAGGTTTGATTTCCAGCTTGTACACAAAAACATGTAATTGAGCTTTGTATCCGTAAATGAGCCATGCTCGGTAGTAGGAAAGTAAAGGATTTGACCATGGCTCTCAAAGGAGGCTCTTCAGCTGGGTCACTCTCTTTACTGACACTTAAACGGATTACAACGAAAATTAAAATGATTTGACGTATCGTTCTAAAACTTTGTGACTACTTTTACAATCACGATTTAATCAAGTTTGAATCTGTCCAGTGAACGTTATACAATTATATAATATTATTTCAAATTTTAACTCATGGCCACAACTGATTCGTATGAATCACGTAATAGCTCTTTTATTATTTGAAAACATTAATACGTGCACATTTATACATAAATTATATCTGTAATTGATTCAAGTATAACAAGTTACACAAAATACGAATAAAACTAGAAAGCCAATGTGCTACAGAATGCCCTCATTACGTCAGGGTTCAGTCTAATATTAGTATTAGAACATGTGGCAGTTGATAAAACTAAACTAGAACATGAAAATCGTAAATATATAGTTAATTGTTTTACGGTCAAGAATGCTAGTTATTTACGCTACATATATCTTTATAATACTGAGTTTGTTACTAACGGCAAGTCAAAAGGACCTGCAATTTTTAAAAGCCAGACATGCATTCTACAACAGCTTTTTTTTTTTTAAATCTTTGTGGGGTATTCGAAAAAAGATAAAATAAAACAAAGAGTTAAGGCTTGAAACTGGGAACGTCCGCGCGGGTTCATACAAAATTGCTCCGTCACAGAGATGGCCACGCGTCGGGTACCCGTCGCTGGTCCGCGTTTAACGCAGTTTCAAGCCTTAAGGTAACTGATTCGAAAGACCACATTTTCTTTTAAAGTACATTTGATTAATAAACTACATCTCGTTCACAACCTGAGACCTGAAAGGGTCTTGCAGATAAATGGTATTGCTTTCTTTAATGTACGACTAACCAGCAACCCAGATTTATGCTTGTTAGTTAGGTGGGTAGGTTAGGTATATTTAAATTATATTTACTACTGAAAGATAATGAGTTTAATATATAGCTACTGTACACTCCAAATAGAAAGTGCGAGTTTACGCATTGTAATGTAATCTCAGTGCTTTCAATTGCATGTGTAAAAGTTGTAACTGTTCAGAGATAAATGTATGTCAATGACATAATAAAGTAATGAATTCTTTGCATAATGAATGTACAGTGAACATTGAAACATTGCCTAAACTGTTATAATAAAGCTTTGTACACCTACACAACTTCATTGTGCTATATTTAGTTTGCCAAGAAAAGGAGAAACACTACAGGTCTTATATAGTGTGGGTAACCTAGTTTATTGATGTTGCTATGGTTAAGCCCGTAAATGATCAATGTGGCCAGTCATTACTTCAAAAAACACTGATCTCAGGCTGTCTAACCACATACTGCTCCTTGATACGTCCCTTATACATAAATATTAAATACTATGAGGTAATGGGTAACGTATTATGAAATCACTTCCATTATAATATGGTAGCAAATGCTTCTAGACTTCTATCGACCCTATCTAATAGAAATAGCGGAATTAGGAAACTATATCGACCTCAATAACCCCCGTGTCAGACGACCGTAACTCTGCCAGAAATATGGCGTAAGTACTTCGTCAAGGTATACTTTTGAAATTGCCTTATCTTATCTAAATTATAATCTATTCTATTCAGTTTCATTCCAAACTTTCGACGAATGTTTTTCACCAAGTACGTTAAAATATATGTACAAAATTTTGTATATTTTAGAGCTGCTATATGCTGCTTGGGCAGTATGTACGAGAAACTCGGCAGGATGATGGGTAGATCCTACGAAGAAACAGTCAATACTCTAGTCAAGTCTTTGAAAAATGCTGAGTCACAGACACGATTAGAGATAATGAACACCCTTGAAAAGGTATGTTTTACAAATCTTTTTAGTTTCTCTGTTCTGGTCAATCATTTGTGTTTCAGTCAACATTTTTAACCGGTCAAAGGAAATATACACCTAATTTTTGCCAACCAGAATTGAGTCATGCTTACGTAATAAGGGCAAGCTTATAGCCTTTAACCTTGCCATTGAAAAGAAAAGGTAGACATATGTATATAAGAAAGGTAATGTATAGAAAAGAATAAAGGTTACAGGGGTTGATTGGGGAATGTTAGCAAATGCACCAGAAAGTCAAGGTCGTGTGTTATAATGTTAGCAGTTGACAAAAGTCGTGTCTTATATTGTTGACATACAAATAAAGTTCTTTTGTTAAACATACATGTGTGGACATGTGTTTGTTTTGCTGTTATCATTATTAATTTTTGTTATTTATAATGAATCCCTTGGAAGGTCATTCACCTTGTGGACTCCACTCTCTTTTTTTAAGAATATATCTCAATAATGAACTATCCCAATGTTACCCAGATCTGCGTTGGTATGGGTACTGCAGCACCTGTCGCGGTCCGGGAAGTGTGGCGTGCGGCCCGCAACTCTCTCGTGTCGGAAAGAGCTCCAGCAGTGCGAGCTGCTGCCGCACATACTCTGCGACATCTATTGCCGCTAATGCGCCTAACGGTTGCGGAATTAGACGCTGTAGCAGCTGCTTGCCTTAAATCCGGCCACCCCAGTGACTATGCATTAAGGTATGACTGCATTCGGAAAACTTACTAAATAGATTTAGTTTACATTCATACATATTCGCTTGAGATCTGTTAAGTACAGGTAACTTGGATGTAAAATTTACGATGATTGGTTTGTTCCCTATTTATTTTTTTGAATTAGTTTATTTATTTATTTGTTGATTGGAAGACCATCAGCCTTAAAAGTAGGTTTATGACATGCAACATTTGGCCAGTTACAAGTCCTCACTATTTATCACAAATTGCAGCAGTTAACCTAAACAAGAATATACAATACAGTCACACTTTAAGGGTAGTGAGTGGCTTTTTAAACAATTTTACTTCCTAACAAAGTAAAATTTAAAAAAAAAGTATACATAATTGTCTCATAATGACTAAAACACTAGTAATGCTATTATTGGCACGGCGTAACTCATAACTGTGATCTTAAGCGCTACGGATCTCATTGGGCACTATAGTTTATTCGTGCTAAGAATAGTAACTCATTGATCAAGCCTGACCAATCAGGTTCCAATTCGAATCAGGGCGAATGGACTAGTCTTCTGTTATAGAGTAAGAGTAACAGAAGACAAGTATCCATATTATAGCAAGGCGAGCGAAGTTATAGAAGTTATAGAAAGAACTCTTACAGTACCTATATATCGTATATAAACATCTCAAACATCTTCATCGTAACATCTATTTAAAATGTGTTTAATATATCAGCATTTAGACTTCCAATGTTTATAAAAGTTTTTATAGCAACGTCTTTTTGCACTTGATATAAATAACACCGGGCTGTATTGCCATGTTTCATTTAAATATAAAATTTATACAAGTATGTAGGATATTGCAATAATTGCCTGTTTTATTTTTATATTCCTTGGCAAAAAAGTAGTACACAACTTGGTTGATTGTTAAAAGCTCCCGGTACTTGGAAATAATTAAAGGCAGTGTTTAAAAAAACGCCAAATTTTACAAAAAGCGTTTAATGGTATAAATAATGATGGATTTTATAATGACTATGTTTTAGTAGCCAGTAAATATAACTGCCCCACTTCGTGACAAGTGTTGCTATATTTTTTATTTACAACTTTATGAACTTGTGTACAGCGGCGGACTTAATGCCCAGGGCATTCTGTACCAGCCAACCTTTGGGTGGTGTAGAAATCTGGTGAGGTAGGTGCACAGAGGTTGCAGTTGTTATAGTAGTTATAACTATCATATACAATTACACACACATACATACACATATATAGATATAAATACAAAAATACATATACTTAATATTCGTACACTGTAAATAGGGAGGTGTACTATTGAGTAGGTAATTTCGCTAACTGAAGAATATAGTATTGTATAACTTTGGAAATGAAACGGAGCTTCGACTATATATACTATATCTTGTCCACTATTCCCTGCTTATCTAAAAGTACCGATTATTCTATACTAGTATTATAATAATGAAGAATTTGTTTGTTTGTTTAGTTGAATGCTAACGCATTCAACGGGAACTTATCGGGAAATTCTCCGGAACTACTGGTTCGAATTGAAAAATTCTTTGTGTTGGTTTGCTCATTGTCCAGAAAGAATAAATTTTGCAACAAAATAAAGGAAAATGTATTCCTTTTAATAAACGCAGACAAAGTTTCGCTGGTCAAGTAGTCAAACAAAGAACGTGTTTATCTCACACGGTTGGTGGTGATTCTTTTGTTTACATTTTAACAGATGCGCTATAGCGGAGTTGTTTGGTGCGATGATTGCGATTACACAGGCTGGCGAATTAACTAATATGAACACTAAATTGAAGACACAATCAGGTAATTGTTTTTTTTATTTTTCAAGAAAAAATAGTTTACTTTTTCTTAAATATATTATTATTATTATATTTAATTTTGAATAGTTGGTGGATTAACTTTCTGGTGTATATTATAATATAATGTACTTAGTTATGTATGATTATGAAAAATACTGTAGTTATCATAAGACTTTTACAACACGCGCGCTCCCACCGTGCGAACGTCAACTGCGCTAATCGTAGCTGAGTATTTACGAAAACTAATAAAATTATCATTCAGTATAGTATCAAGTACAGTGGTTTAATAACAAGTATATTACCATGGTGCAGTGCAAATTGTGCAAGATATCGCTTGCGCGAGTGAAAGGCGATAGTATTACGAAATGTAAGGGTGAGTGTGAGGGTGTATATCACAAAAAGTGTGGCTTCAAAATCAAGGCATTCGCCGACACCGGCCTTTGTGATGAATGCCAAATCCCGCAAGCAGGTCAACCTTCCATCGACGTTGATCTAACAAAAACAACCCCGGAAAGACTGTTAGCCGAAGTAAATGAAAAGCTGGCAATAGTTTTCAACATGAAAAAAACATTGGAATCTATGTCTGAAGATATAAGCTTCTATGCAGAGAAGTACCAAGAGTTAATAGAAGAGAAAGAAAAATCAGACAAAAAGATTAAAGCATTGGAACATAAAAACTCGCATTTAGAAACACTTAACAAGTCCCTAGAAGAAAGAATAACCTATTTAGAAATACATGAGAAAGAAAGAAATGTGGAAATATTTGGATTGGAGGAAAAACCTAATGAAAATTTAGATTTAACAGTAAAAGGTGTAGCAGGAAAACTAGGCTTAGACGCCGAAAAGATATGTGAAATTAAAAGGGTAGGTGAAGAAAATAAGCGCGGAGCTGCGCGCAATACCAGCTCCGTGCGTGGCGACTCTGCTGACAACAATAAGCAAAAACCACGCCCAGTTGTAATTACACTATGTACACGAGCCGCCCGCGACAAGTGGTTAACTACAAGAAAAACCCACAAAATAACCAATGATGATGTTTTTGCCAACGGAAACAAACAAAGGATTTATATAAATGAGGATCTCACGAAGTACATGCGTAACATTCTCTGGACGGCGAAAAATGAACTAAAGCCCACTTATAGATATATTTGGATACAAAATGGTAGGGTGCTCATAAAAAAAGATGATCCAAATGATACAAAGATAAGATCAATCCGTACATTGAGTGACATAAATATGTACATAAACGAAATCACGGGCAATAAGTAATGGGTCCGTATATGGTTATGGCACTCAGTTAAATAATTGTACCAAAATTCGATAATCACGTATTGAATATAAAAAGTAATATAAAGTACAATAAATTCATATCCATAGATAGCTGGGAAGAGGAAATATTACAATGCAAGAAAGATTTGAATATTATTCACTTAAATATAAGGTCACTAAGAAAAATTTTTGATCAATTCCTAGTTTTAATTGATAACTGCAAGGAACACTTAGACTTTATTGCATTGAGTGAAATAAACATAAGACAGCAAGAACTACCATTGTATAACATAGAAGGATATGACACATATGTAAATACGAGGGAAAATAAGAGAGGCGGGGGGATTTTGCTATATGTTAATAATAAACTAAACTTCACCGCAAAAATACTAAATACTCGTTACTGTGAATTGATTCATGGCCGGCTTTTCCAAGACGGAATGAACCCTGTACATATTTTTGTCATATACCGGCCCCCAAAAACAAATAAACAAGGATTTGTTGAAGAAGTGCATAAGTTGTTATCTGAGATCCCAGTTGGCTGTGAATTATTAGTGATCGGCGACACGAACGTAGATCTTTTGTGCAAAACCGGTTCCGGCAGCGTTGTCAACAACTTCGAAAACAATATGTGTGAGATAGGTATGGAATGCGCCTTGCGTGACGTAACAAGGGAGGAGGTGTACGGTGACACTGTGACGCGATCGTGTATTGACCAGGTGTGGATTCGAACCCTGTGCAGTGCATCTTCATATGTATTGAACTGTAAGATATCAGATCACTATATTATAGGAGTGTGTCTTAATAAAGGTACCATAAATTCCGTAAGTAACAAACAATCTGAACGGACAATTTTTAATGATAAAAAGATTATTGAATTATTAGACAATATTACATGGTCGGACCTCCTGAACTGTAAGTGCCCTATTGATTTATATAATAGCCTTTATTTAATTTTTTGCGATGTTTATAATAAGTCGAAAACACAAATAACTATACGTAACGGTAGGAAGAATAAGCCATGGATCACTGAAACAATTAGAAGAATGATTTATACTAGGGATAAACTCTTTCAAAAATGGAAATCAAATCCTAACGATATGACTTTAAGATTACAATACAATAAATATAGAAATAGAACGAGTAAATATATATGTAGGGCTAAAAATAAATATCGCCAGGCAGAGATAAAAAAATGTAACAAGAACGTTAGAAAAATCTGGGACAAAATAAACACATGGGTAGGGAGGGAGAAAAGTAGCCTAGACGATATTATTTTAAAACACTTAGGTAGAATAGACAGCAAAGTTGACATATGCAATAACTTTTCGACTACCTTCACTCAAGAAATCTCAGAGATAAAACATGTATGTCGATATAATTTACTGGATAGGTCTACTTATGTCGACAATAGCCAAGTGTCAATGAGATTTCAAAGAGCTTCTCCAGAAGATGTTTATAAAATTATCAATTCGCTAAGCTGTGAAAAATCTGCAGGTGTAGACAATATAAGGGTAAAGGAAATAAAGTATCTAAAGTCGCAAATAAGTCCTATATTAGCCTTATTTATTAATTTGTGTGTAGAAAAAGGAATATACCCTCAACAATTAAAAACTGCACTGATAAGGCCGATTTTTAAGCAAGGTGCACATACAGAATACTCAAACTATAGGCCAATAGCTATACTCTCAGTAATAAATAAAATTATGGAAAAGTATGTTGTAGGCCAAATAAGCACGTTTTTGGAGAAAAATAATATCTTAACAAATGCCCAACACGGTTTTAGGCGAGGTAGGAGTACGGCTACAGCTCTGGCACAATTCTCTAATGATATCAATGAATACCTAGACCTGCGGAAGCAGGTGGTGGTGATCTATATTGATTTCAAAAAAGCATTTGATACCTTGGAGCACCACCAGTTACTTCAAGCTATGCAGGAGTGTGGAATCGCGGGACCACTTAATACATGGCTCCGCGCATACCTCACAGATAGGACGCTAAAAACTGTTGTCGATGGAGTGGTAGGGGAGGCTAAAAATATCAGGTGTGGCGTGCCAACCGGATCGGTGTATGGCCCGGTAGGGTTTATTATGCATGTTAATAGCATGTGCAATGTGGTGCATAACTGTCATATGTATATGTATGCAGATGATACATGTCTGGTGTACGCTGATAACGATCTAAGTATAATAGAAAAAAAAATCCAAGACGATATCACAAATATTATAAAGTGGGCACATGATAACGGACTTGTTATAAACATAAACAAAACAAAATGTATGCATATACACTCACCCTATCACAAAAGTATTGGACGCTCGCCGCGCATTATAGGACATAGCTATGAATGTCTGCATAGCGAGTACGACGGCAGTGGATCGCGGTGTGAGTGTGCGGCTATAGAGGTGGTGGGAGAGTACAGGTACTTAGGATTAGTGATAGACACCAATTTTGCTTGGAAAGCGCACATTACTAAACTTTGTAATAAATTACGATCTGTCCTTGTAAAATTCCACCACCTCAGTGGCGTACTGGACAGGGCTACTTTGTTTGTTGTTTACTATGCGCTGGTGGATTCGCTGCTTTCCTATGGACTGGCATGTTATGGACGCACGTTTAAAACGAACTTGGATAAGATTAAAGCCTTGCAAACAAGATTTATGAAAAGGTTAGTAGACAACTATAAAACAAAATTACGGTGTAAAATAACCAACTATGAGGAATTGTTTGTTGAGTGTAAAATCCTGCCAGTGCATGAGAAGGTAGCGCTATTAGTAGCATTAGATCATTACTGCCACCAAGAGTACAAAGTCAGGGCTGTGCAACTAAGGCCTCGAGGTGCAAAATATTGTAGGACTTTTGAGGTGCCCATTTGCCATAATTATTATGGCCAAAGATGCAATAAATATTTAGTACCAACTATACACGGTGATTTTGAAAGCGTTTTGGAAAAGAAAATTTTGAGTTATTTATCAGTAACAGAAGCTATATATAACGTTAATTTAATAAAATATATTTTTTTTTATCATCAAAGTCGATATTCATATCGTTTACAGAGAAAAAGTCAGAACCAGTAGTAGTAGGCTATTCAATCACACGTAGGTAAATACTACGAATAGAAATACTATGCGTGTCACATCAAATCGTATTCGCCAATAAAAACAAAGCTACCGAGTTGCGCCGGAGTCGTCCAACCAATGACGTCTGCCCCGTAGGCGCATGCGCGAGGCTCACCTGTCATCGTCAGTCGGTCAGTAATACCATAACATCGTGACGGCACGCTGCATTGATTAGCGCTAAAATGAGTCGACAGTACGAATTTTCAAACGTGGAATACTTCTTGGCAATGGTACAGCTGTACGCTACTGCCAACTACAACTTGGAAGAGGCTCGGCGTTTGTATTCCCAAGCCGGAGCATTTAAATGCACTACGGCTACGTGGAATTGAAAGCCCTCAAATTCCCTCCACACCTACTATCTTGGCTGCAACCCAACGTCTTCTCTACCACGGACAATTTCGTGCGCCTACTCATACGCAAGGTCAAGGACGTTTTAATTATTATTCGCCGGAGTGTAGTGCGTGCATACCTGGACAATGAGCTTAGTGATCGGACTTAACGCCCCTGGATTTTTTCTTATGGTCGGAAATAAAAAGACTTGTTAATACACGGGAATATGAAAGCCGTGATAATTTACGCATTGCGATAGTGGACGCTTTAAAGTGAAAAGTGATAGAGACACATTAAGAAAATTAAAAAACAATTGCATTAATCGTGGACGTTTGTGTATTGAATGCAGCGGACTCCATTTTGAGCAGTTCCTTCGATACAGAGAACTGTAAATAGTGTAAATAGGTATGTAAGTTAATTATTCTGTAGATAGCTCCGATTTTTTAAATACGCCTGAAATATTTATACCTACAGTCCGTTGATAAATTGATTTGTTGTGAAAAGAACAATCGTGGTTAATAATCGAAAAGAAGTTTAAATAAAATAGGTATTTCTGACGGTCCTAAGCCCGTGTAAAGTATGAAGGACAAATTGGAGTCTATCTACGTAAGTACTCGCTAGCTCGCGCCTATAGGTATAATTTTGTCAGCTGCTGTTAGCGTCGGCGGTGCGCAGCGGCCGCCGAAACGCCCACGGACGTGTTTCATTCATATAAGATAATGAATGAACGATCAGTCCATTACTACTTTCCAAGTCGATCGAGTAAAAATGAATATTAAAACTGAAACTTTTTTTTAGACAACATTACAATTGATTTAATCATTTTTATTGGTACTATAGATGATTCCAAATTCAAATATTTCGTTTCCAAAACGCTTTCAAAATCACCGTGTATATAACAGTTTACCTACAGACATAGAAAGTGCTTGTACTTCAAAACGGTCGTTTAAATACAAAGTAACAAAGTTTCTTCTAAATGTGATCAGTGGAAACGTGACGGGTACCTAAAGTATAGTTATTATAACTACACTTTGGGTTCCTGTCATGTTTGTTATGTCATGTTACTTAAGTATCTTTGTTAACAATAACTAATCACTAGGTAATTTTAATTAATTTGATTAAATGATCGTTACTGTAATTTTGCATGTTATTTATTTTATTATTTTAAATTTAATTTTTATTTTTTTATTTTTGTAAAAAGGATATGATAATGTAATTGTTAAATTATAATAAAGAGTGTAATAACAATAGTTAATGTAATATGATAAAGTGGGAGCTACGTCTGCCAACAAACTGCTGTGCAGTTTGGCAGAAGTAATTGAATATTGTAATACGTTTTTAAATTTAAATAAACAATATTATTATTATTATTATTAAAGCAAGAGACTTTTACCTTTGCAATACTAATGTAGAATCGAAAGATTAATGGGTCACTCCTTATAGTAGACAATTAATGAATGCAGACTACAATTAATGACACATTTTTTTTAGAACTTTAGGCGTCAACTATTCCGACCTTATAAGATAAAGAACATACTACGATATGATATTAATTAGGTTTCTCGTTAGGTTACAACAAAAAAAAATGATACTTATGTTCTCATATAAACCATTCTGATTTTCATAGTGCAGCAAAAGAAAGAGCCACCCAAAAATGTAGTATCATTAGACGAAGCATTAAACTTGTTAATGGGCGCGTTTCTCCGTGGCGGCACTTCGTTCCTCAAGGGAGAGATTATCAAATCTGGTTCGGGAGTCAACAGGGAAGTCCGTGTTTGTGTTACACATGTAAGTATAATTATGTAGTTGTCATCGACTAGACGCTTTAAAATTTAGATCCATTTAAATCTACTATAGCCGGTAAAAGACACTCCAGGATAAACGGTGTTTTTACAATTATTTCGAATATTACATAAATTTTGGCACCCTGCAGAAAGATAATAAGTTTTATACCTAGTTTTAACAGAGAACACTTCTAAGAACTTCAATAAATTTGTCAGAATTTGGTGATGTTAGGACTGGAATTTGCTAGTCAATTCTATTAATTTTTTGAAACGCTATCATTAGGTTCACATATAATGAATTAACAATTAGTTCTTTATATGTTTACGTAAACGCTATTTACGTAAACTAATCTTTCAAGATTTTTTATAATTGTTTTAAGTCAATTTTACCCTAGTTCTTATGTCGCATCGAAACGAAGCTTTACATATAAATAGATATATCTAGTTTGGCTGACAGCACTATAATTTGGCATCTTGGATTATGATGATGGAGCCACGGCGAGGAAATAGTGTAACTCTTCAGTAATAGGCTAAAACACCTCAAGTTTGGGCTCATAGTTATGATATGTTTTGACGAGTCCAATATAATATTGGACTAGATAACGATGGGGTGAATATGGAGTCACGTGGAGTAACTCGGTGGCTCTTAAAGCGCGTTTTTTAGTTTTTCTAATTTATAGTTTATTGCATTTCTTTAGGCCTACGTGGTGTTCGTGCAAAATATGGGAGGCGTGTGGTTGGAGCGCAATATGACCACGTTTTTAAATCACGTTTTGGATTTAGTGGCCAATCCCAAAGCCGCTAGTTCGCACGTCGATGCTGTATATTCTAGGTAAAGTTGATTTTACTTAAACATAGCTTAAAACTTATTGCTTGTATAAAGTGATGTACAATCTGTACATCTTTTGTTGGCCCTCAATAAGAAATAAATAAATATTTGATACTCGAATACTTTCAGCTTTTTATACAACCATTGTAGTTTTTGTATAATTGTGGGCAAGTATTACTTCACATCATGACATTTGTTTAATTATCTTGTATGTTTTATATGAGAACTGTAGGATTGTGTAACTTTCCATAAAATAAAATACTTTACAGGAAATGCATAAACTTTATACTTCGCAACACACTTGGCAAGATGTTGGGCGAAAAGGCACAGGCATCCGCTTGCAGAGAGATTATACAAATAGTTATCAAACAGATGAACAGCATCGATTTCAATCCGGAGAATGCTAAAGATTGTAACCAGGTACATCATCTAACAAAATATTTATATGACATACAAAATTATATCCATCTTAATGTATTAAATTAATCCGGTAAATTTGCTTAAATTGAACTATCTACCAACTTTACCAAATTTTAACACCACCTAGTGAGACTCGAGAAGAATGCCCTGAGCATTAAGTACACTGAAGTACGTAAAGTTATAAACATAAAAAAAACATTTATAAAAGAAAAACTATGCATGTAGTTATAATAGTCTAGATAGCACTGTGTAATGTGTCTCGGGAGGCAATTATTTATTTATTTATGATTTCATGCACAAAAATATACATCGGCCTTTTTAATGTGGCGTAAAGGCATTCTCTGCCAGTCGACCGATTGGGCGATGCAAATAAATAATGAGAATTATATAATAGTATAATATTATATTCTTCCAGGAGACACTTTTCAGCCAACATCTTTTGGTATGTGCTTTGATGGAAGCTGGAGAGTTAGCACTTCAACTTGGGACCTCAGTGCAAAACCTTGTGTCGGATACTTCATTGAATATGATCGATGCCATTTGTACGGTAAGTTACGATATCCCAACAATATGCTATGGCTTCATCTATAAGTATCACCTGCACATTTAGCTTTGCTCTTAAAACGTATGATATAATTAACAAAATTATAATAAGCATTTCTATTCAAACTTGCACGCATGTGTACGTATACGATGGTAGTGTACGTTTACGATAGTAGTGTACGTTTACGTGCATGTGAATGTTTTATGTGCACTCTAATACTTTGATGTATGTGCCTTTTCTTTACACTTAATACTTTGTTATTAATAATACAAATAATAAAGCTCTTTACTATTTTTAAGTTTCACTCATCACTAAAATTGTTTTTTCTTTAAAAAAATGAACTACAAAATGTTTCCTAAAGTACTGTGACTTGGCAAAAGCTTCCTTTACTACTCGCTGGTCTTGGTATTAATAGCAGAAATAAATGAAGAAGAGCTGTTTTCTCCATTTAGTTCAATTGTCAAGTTCGTCGTTTCAATTTCTGTACTGCTTTCCTTGATTTATTTTGCGACGACAAAACAGCGTTTGGTGTCTTTCTGGCTCGACTTTCTAATCTTATCGGACATCATACGACCTGACTGCCCTCATTTTTGCTGGTCACTTACTACTTGCAACGAAACAAAACTTGCTGACATCCCCGTCAGCAAGTTTTGTTTCGTTCCTCAGATCCATGTTTTTAGTTTGCTCTGACATCCACATCGGTTATACAGCTGTTGTTTTTTATTATGTAGGTATTAGAACACCCGTGCGTGGCGGCCCGTTTGGCCGCTGCGTGGTGTATCCGGTGCGTGTGCGTGGCCCTGCCGTCACAGATAACGCCGCTCATCGACAAGTGTGTGGACGCGTTAGATGCGCCCAGACCCACGCCTCATCACATCTCTGGTTAGTATTCATTACTTCTTTAATAACTATTTCTCTCATACATTTATTCCAAGTAAAAGATAAAGTTTATATAGAAAATATAATGATACAAATTGCTTATTCTCGTAAAAAAAAAAGGTTTTTTTTTTTAACAACTTCCTACTCAGTAACTTCGACAGACTTATTCCACAAAATCCAAAACTAAAATACGTCTTTCAGGGTATTCTGCTGCCTTAGCGGCTATACTAGGAGCAGTGCGCCTGTCTCCGCTCGGCGTACCTCACGGACGAGGCAAAGTGGCTTTCAACGCTGCTGAGCAACTGCTGAGGTCCGCGGGACAAAGCAGCCGACTCACTGCTGCGAGAACTAATGCCGGTTGGCTTATAGTCGGCGCGATATGTACGCTAGGTAAGACAGTAATATGAACTAATTTCAATTTTAAATGTAGTTTTTGTTAAAGTTTTTGAAAAATAAACATAAGTACATTATGTAAGCATTGGTTGTCTAAGGTGTCCCAGTCGTCCGCGGTCTATTGCCAAGAATGTTGCTGCTATGGAGGAACAGTTTCCCAAGATCTGTGAAGGAACTTGAGTCTGAAAAATCCAGAGGAGATGCTTTTACTTGGCAGGTGAGCTATATAAGTAGATGTCATTATTTTAATTTCATTAATTTTAGGGTACAGATAGATTTACTTTTTTGATTTATCATTCCGTCTTGACTAGAAGTCTAGGCGTTTTGTCACCGATTCGGTTACATATTTAAGTAAGTGTTTAAGTTAAGTTTAAGTTTAAAGTGCTTGTTTACTAACAAGAGTGTGTTATACGTGAAATAAAAAAAATAAAAAATCCGGTCAAAGAGATAGCATTGAAAAAGTAAATATTTGCAGGTAACTTTAGAAGGACGGGCAGGTGCATTGTCCGCATTACACAGTCTACTTATTCATTGTCCGTCGCTCGTCAACAACGATGACACAGCTAAACGACTGACGCAACCCATCGATGGTGCTATCGCTGTTCTTACCAAGTAAGTAGCGATGCATATATACGGTTCGGGATTGTTTAAATCGTGCACTTTAAATTTGCTACTAGCTACGTATAACTCTCTGTTAACGTTATATCTTCTCCCTCGTGCGACGTAACGTTACGTACTTAAACCGTGATGCGTTTTTTAAATGTCACCCAATTTTCGTGCTCGAGGAGATTTTTAAATTCTTGAAGCCGAGGGTGACGGCTATATATTTACCTCGCTGCTTAATCGATTTAAAGTTAGATAAAGTGTGCACGGACACGGACTTAAAAAAAACGACACCTCTGTGGTTCGTTTCGGCGTTTCTTCTCAGAGCTAGCGTTAGAAAACGTCGGCGCCTTCTACCTGCGTAAAGTCCGATCGTAAAAATATTTGAAAAGATTTACTCACAGAAATAAATATAATCGATGATGCATTATGCAGCGTGAGCAGCGTGGTCCGGTCGTACGGCGGAGCGCTAAAGGCCCCGGCGGCGCTGCTGCGGCTGCGCCTGTACCAGGCCTGCGCCGCGCTGGGCGGGGGCGCCGCGCCGCCCGCCGCGCCGCTGCTGCGCCTGCTCGCCGCCGAGCTCGCCGGCTCCGCGGACCCCAGCGGGGCCAACGTCGCCACCGGTCAAAGCTTTATACTTTCTACCTGAATGACTATTGCCATACGAATTGACAGTCCGAATCGAACTCTGACAGCTAGGACGACGAATACTATAAACTGAAACAAATATTTCAGAAAATATAACTAAAACAAACTGTTTTAAAATAACGTCAACTTTTAAAAGCAAATGTTTTATTCACATGCTAAAAACTATATAACCGTTTTATCTTGAAAGCAGTAAGAAATCCATACTCCATATTAATATTATAAATGCGAAAGTGTGTCTGTCTGTCTGTTCACACTTAAATTGCTGAACCGCATTTGATAAAATTTGGTATAAAGATATTTTGAGTACCGGGAAAGTACATAGGATAATGGAAGTTTGTATGGGTAATCAATAACCGCTAAACCGATTCAGATGAGATTTAGTATAGAGATAGTTTAATTCTTGAGAAAGGACATAGGCTACTTTTTAGCGCAATTACCGACATAGACTCGGGCGGAGTCGCGGGCAAAAGCTAGTTCATTATATTTTTGACTTTGTTGCTTGTGATTCAACTTCACATCGACATTGCGTTTATAATATGCATTTCTCATTATTAGGTACTTTAAGAAGCGCCATGCACCCCAGAGACACCATACTATTGGGTGAAGAAGGATGGATTTACGATACAGATCAAGCTGAAATTGAAGAACAGTTAATATCTCCACTGAGCACTAGCGGGTCGGGGGCACTGGAACATGACCCCTGCTGTTTGTACCGCGGGGTGACGGGGGCCCAGCCTCTGGGGGTCGCGGTTATTGATGCTTCGGTGACACTATTTCCACAAATTTTTTCAAGAGCCGCTAATAAACATAGGTGGGTAATAAACATCAGTCTCTTTTTAAAAGCTCATAAGTTTTATGAACTATTATATTTTAAATGTGGATAAATTCTCTTTCACTTTAATAGGTAGATAGATGAGTATACTTTGATTTAATTTGACTGCCTCGGTGGTGCAGTAGTAGTGTATGCGACTGCTGTTCTGAGGTCTCGGGTTCGATTCCCGGATTGGACCAAATATTTGTATGCTCTGCAATTATTTGTTTCGGAGTTTGGGTGTTTTCTATGTATAATATGTATGTATTTACAAAAAGTATATAAGTATTCTATCAGTCAATCTAGCTTTCATAGTACAAGCTCTGCTTAGTTTGAAACTAGATGACGTTGTGTGTTAGATGTCCGAAATATTATTATTATTTATTGTTTCATTAAGAATATCAGCTAATATTGTTGGTGACACATAACTAGCACTCGCGTCATAATTGATATTGATGTGAAACATCTAATATGGAGGGTCAGACTGGCTGATGGCGTGGCGACGCGTCGAATAGCTATGTGACACTGTGGTTAAATGTAACATGTGATGCGGTGTGGCAATATAAATGTTAGTGCTATAAAATAATTTCGGTGCATTAAATAGTTTCACATCTGCCAGATGTCCCGCTACGATTTTTTCTTTTAATTATTTCCGAAACATCATCACATCACATCAACAGCCTTTAATAGTCGACTGCTGGACATAGATCTTTAGAAAGGAGGTTTTGGCCTACTATACCATACTAGCCAAATGTCCAACACATTTCAAGTTCAAGTTGTGTTGTTGTTTGTGTGTTGTGTCAAGTTTTCCTTCTCTTTTCAATGCTGTTGTCTTCCTTACGACACTCACGGGATGAATATTATATTAATATGACATGCACCATAATTGATATTTGCCTTGCAATAATTCATTGCAAGTTAGATAAATGAATTAATGCAATATTGCAGTGTGAGCAGCGTGGTCCCAGCAGGTAAAGGCTCTCGAAATATAACTTATAGAAAAAGATCTAGCCTTCTACTCAGTTCACACAACACACAATTCAGTTTCTACAATGGCATCTAGGTATTTACCAACCGCGTTTATATTTCTAAATTTTCTTTACAGGCAACAAATGCTAGAACATTTCACAGAAAGCATCAAGGTCTGCAAGGGAGCTCGCCAAGAAGCTATTCAAATTAACATCTACACTGCAATGCTATTGGCATTACGAACCCTAGCTGAATTAAAGAGCTCACTTGGACAGGAAGCTGTTAAGAATATTGCTACAGAACTTGTTATTGTGAGTCTTGTTCATATTTTAATAGCAAATTTGTTAAAATAAACAAAAGTAAACGAGACGTTGACTCCTGTTTTAGAACTCACAGTACAAGCTATTTATATAACTAGTTTAGAGTCTAGATAGTGCTGTGTTGTCAGAGATATTATATCGTTATTGTTAAAGCAAATTAATGAAACCATTTTCGTTTTCAGAACGGTTTGTCAGCAAACAGCGCAACAGTCCGAGCGGCGGCCGCGTCGTGCGCGGGCCGCTTGTGTGGTTGTATCACTGAAGCGGAGAGTCAAGCGCTCAGCGAGAAAGTCATTGCTCTCGCGAGGACGGCCGTCAACAGGTCGGTGCGGGCGGCCGCTGCAGCCGCTGTGGGCGCCGTGCTCAGAGCGAGGGGTGCTACTTCAAGCGCTGCAGCGCTGCCTGTGTTAAGGGCGTTGGCGCAAGATACGGCAAGTGTTGAGTTACAGGTCAGTGAATAATACAGTTTTTAATAATATTAGCATCGTTAAACAAATGTTTATCCGGCACGCTCTTTTCATGGCGTAGTGACTAAAAGTTTAATTTGATTAAAAATACCAATTACTATTTATTGAAGAAGCTTTCATTTATTTGCAAAGAAGATAAAAAAAAAATTGAATTGTTTGTTTCTGGGTTAAAATAATAAAAAAACTAAAAAAATGAGCGCTTATTTTTCATCCTTAGGTTTTTATGATATTCTGAGTTTTTTGCAATTAATTTTGTTTTTACATGTTTCTAGGTGTGGTCTCTCCACGCACTCTCTGTGCTGGCGGATGCCTCCGGTCCAATGTTCCGGGGTCACGTGGAATCGACTTTGAACCTCGCGCTAAAACTTCTGTTCAGCGCTCCACCTTTCCAAGAAGACTTGCATCGCAGTATCGGAAGACTGTTGTCCGCTTTGATCACTGTCGTGGGACCGGAGCTGCAGGGTATGTATTTTGTGTCGATATACCATAGGATTAGGCTACTCAGAATGTGGATTTTAGTAAATATTATAAATGCGAATCTAAGTTTGTTACACTTTTACGAATAACTTACAACCGATCCGGATGATCCATGTGAACGAGGCGTTAAGATGATAACGTGTTGCAGTTGTGGCGGTGGGCCGGTTCGTGTGCGCGTGCGCTGCGCTGGGCGAGTGCGGCGGGGGCGCGCGCGCAGAGGCCACGGGCTGCCTGCAGCAGCTGCAGATGTTCGCGCCCGACCACATCAACCTGCACACCCTCGTGCCGCACCTGTGTGTGAGTATAGCTAGTGTCTACTACGGCAGTGTTTCATTCACGACCAATTTGAGTTCCGTTTTTTTATTATTCTTATACAAAATACTATTATAAACAAGCTATCTAGTATGTTTTTAGAATTCAAACGTTATTATTTTTTGCAGCGCGACCTTTCTCACTCGGACTTGACAGTACGCAGGGCCGCATTATGTTGTCTACGGCAGTTGTCTCAGAAAGAAGCCGCCGAAGTGTGTAAATATGCGCTAATGGCTAAAGGTCACGTACCCGCTAAACCTTATTGTGGTGAGTGTGAAAAATGTTTAATTGTCTATTATGGACTTACACATTGAATAACTCTCATTTGTTAATATTCGATATAGGAGACTTCGATGGCTACGTCAGAAATCATGAGTTAGAATCCTACTCTGTTTATTTATAGGTAAAAAAATATAAAAAGCCGTGTGGTGTCGTGGGACACCCGATAGGAACGAAGTTGTAACGATCGAGTAAAACTGATTCGGCACATTTTAATTACAACGCCATCTATGAAAGCGGCTATTACCTACATATTTTTCAGTTGGTTTCTAATTAAAACAATTTATACATTGGTAAAATCTCCTTGAGAAATGATTTCCTATCTATTCGATAGATGGCGCTGAATGACTGACATAAAAAGATAGAAATAATATCTGGCTTGCTTTCGATAAGAGAGAGAGAGACAGACAGAGAAACTTGCGACGCCGCACAGCTTACAATAGCTTACTATAACAAAAAGTGTCGTGACCAATTTTCGTAAGATTTTTTTCCGTCTAGCCCCCTTTCACAATGCGCGATAAGGAACTTCGTTCCAAAAAATATTTTTTAGCGTCTGTATATACATTATACGTAGTTCGTAACTGCCTGACGGCCTCAGTGGTGGATGTGTGTAACGTATACGACTGTTGTGCTGAGGTCTCTTGTTCGAATTCCGGGTTTGACCAAATGGTTGTATGATCTGCAAATATTTGTTTCAGAGTTTGTATGTTTTGTATGTATTATGCGTATATATACACACATAATTGATTTTTTTAAAAGACCGTGACTCAGTCGCCTTAATATATACAATAATAATATTTTCGGACATTGCCACACAACGCAACCTAATTTAAAACTAAGCAGAGCTTGTACTATGAAAGCTAGATTGACTGATAGAATAGAACACATACACTTTTTAAAAAATGTAAATACATACAATACATACTCATACATAGAAAACACCCAAACTCCGAAACATATTTGCAGATCATACAAACATTTGGTCCGACCCAGGAGTCTAACCCGAGACCTCAACACAGCAATCGCATACGGTAATAAGGTGTGACATCGATATTTTGGTTTGATTCTTGTCATTTTAATATTAAAAAGAAAATTATGATTTTACAGGTGTCGTGATTACTGAAACAGGATTACCCGGCGCCCTGTTTACATTCCTGGACAGCGAAAGGGATGAAACAGCGTTGTCGTATGCGCGAGATACTTTGACCTGCTGTCTCTTAGCCGCGGCAACACATCGGAACGTCAGGGACTGGATAGTGTTGGCTAAACGAGTCCTTACTATTCGCCTAGGTATGTGTATATTAATATTATATCAATTTAGCTATTGGTATTGGTATTGGTTGTGGGCTTCGGTTTCCGCATTTAGACTCAGAGTGGTCCTTTATGCGTCGAGGATTGGTTGACTAGGTGAGCCAGCCAAGCTCCTTCCAGAAGCGCAGAAGCCTCCTTAGGGCGTTCACAGGCTTCTAGGAGCGACTTTGTATCAGGAATGATACTTGCCCGTTGTGTGGCCACTCCCTCGCATTCCAGGACTACGTGGACGGCCGTTTCTTCAGCTTCCAGACATCCCCTGCACAGGGGACTGTCCGTCGCATTGATTATGAATAGTTGTCGGTTCAGGGCTAGATGTCCTGTAATAGTTCCGACAAACGTTCTGATTTCCGGTCTGCTAAGACTGATCAGTCTGCAGGTGAGTCGTGGTGTGACTTGATTCAGCACCAGTTTGGACTGTCTGCAGCCGGGTGAGTTTTTCCACCTCCGGTTGTGTGCTTCACAGGTCCGTTGCCTGACCCAGCATCGTATTTGGTTAAACGATATGGAGGAGGAGTGGGGTTGGGCCAGAGGTTGAGGTTGCCTAGCCCCTCCTTGCCAACTCAAAATCAATTTAGCTATCTAAAAAAGGCTTTGTTTGAAGAGGGATTGTCTGATTATTCAGACTATCTTTCCTTATTTTCTATTAGTTAATTTTGTAATGTACGTTTTCCGAGTGACCTACGTGTATGTTAACAATTATCATCATATAACATGTGCAGAAGACAGTAACAATCCGGAGATAGACTTCGATGGCGAGGGTGACGATGACCAGGCCGAGTTCCACGCTGAGTCCGACCAGTCCACCCATCCAGCTGTGCAGTCTAGATGGCCAACACGGGTAAGTGAACGTGAAGTTTATATTTTAAGGAATATTGAGAACTTATCGATATTTTTTAGAAGGATCGTGACAGATAAGCGTTTTTTTCAACTTTTCTGTTCTGATTCAATAATTGGACATTTATTTGGACATCATATTAAATAACTACTTAGCATAAGACATTACTAACACTAATTGTACTATAAATAAATAAATGAAATGAAAAAAAAAGAATAATTGAGGACAGTTTTCTTAATAGGTTTGGAATATCTTATTGCATAAACATATGTTATTTATTAAAATTATTTCTTTTTCGTTATAGGTGTTTGCAATGGAGTGTATACAGAAAATAATGGGTGCTTGCGAAGCTACAGGCGACGGCGCGCACTTCGATCTCGTCAAAGCTAAAGAAAAATTACAAAATAGTCCTGAGGGTATGGTTATAGAATTAATATTATTATCCTATGTTTTTTAAAATTATTTTGTATACCGTCAGCTATAAAAGCGTATAACTGAGCGTTAACACTAGTGTTGTCACATTCCTTAAATAATGATCCACTTATACGCAAAAAAGTGCTTCGCATTCATTATCATTACGAACTTTCTTAAAAGAGAAAGGCGTATTGTAATGAGAATAAGGCTGATTCTTGCTTACTGAGGACATCTTTACTAGCGAATAACATGCAATAAGTTCACTAAATCTCCAATATTCTCTCATGAGCTGCGAAAAGCGCGAAATAGCTACACTGTAAAATGCTTTCACCGGTGAGCGCTAATGAGTGTAGCGGCACGTTAGAGGATATGCATACAAGAAGAAATAGCTACTTAAATCACATATCATTAGAGACAAATCTCAATAGAGTACACACTACGACTGTACAAAAGGCCAATAATTTTCAAGTATATTTTAGTGCCAATTCGTACCTGTAACTATAGTCAGAGTATTATTTACCATCCACATTTTGCTAAATATAAAAACATATTTTACTATTATATTCAACGTATTACTACACATATTTAAATAAAATATTAAATGTTATTTTATTCAGGCGACTACCTCTCACTTCATTTGTCGGATCTCGTCCGCATGGTGTTCGTGGGAGCTACGGGCGAGTCTGACGCGCTACGGCTGTGCGGTCTACGCACGCTACAGATGATCATACAGCAATACGCGAGAGCACCGGAGCCAGACTTTCCTGGACATTTATTATTAGAACAATACCAAGCTCAGGTATAACAACTCTTCACAGTAATTATTATTAAGTATATTCTGAATAGTAAATGTTACAACCTGTGTGTTAATTAAAAGAAAAATAATAATTCAATCTTTAGTTGGTACGGTCATACTTGGAAACGTATTTCCAACTGCTCAAGGTGTTTTCAGACATCAATAAATATAAATAATCATTAAATTTCGCAAATTTGAAATTAAACTGAAATACTCTAGTGTGAAGTGAACTATCTAAAAATGTATGTTATCAAATGTCATCGTCTCGAATAGTTATTATTCCACACACATATTGTACAGACATTCTTGTATATGGTTTATAATAACGAAGCTGAACTTTTAAATACGGAAACTTTTTATAAAGAACTTTTGGGTCTCAGCAATCAATTTGTGTAAAGAAACTGTCCACGGGGTATTTCCCGATCGACACGACTTTCGAACCTCGTTTAGAAACCGACAAGAAACCTCTGACAAGTTGTGAAGCGTAAACCGCTTTATAAAAATTACAAAATCTTTAATATAATCACAAGTGTTTATCATAGGATATGTTTGTTTTTACGTGTTAATTACATATTATTTACATTAGGGTAAAAAAATAGATTAAATTAATATTTTACTATTTCAAGTTAAACGGAGTGCATTGGTCTACCAGGTGGGTGCTGCAGTGAGGCCAGCTTTTGCAGGCGACACGCCTTCGCACGTGACGGCCGCTGCCTGCGACGTGTGCTCGGCCTGGATCGGCTGCGGAGTCGCCAGGGACATCAACGATCTTAGAAGGTTACTTCAACACTTTATTTAATTAGGGATGATTTATGTTTTTGTCTGCAATGGAGCAAAAGTTACTATTTTAATTAGACTACTAATTAGTATTGTTGTTCTCTGTGGTCAATGGTGTGCTGGTAGGTGAGAGAGTAATCGAGCATATACGTGGTCGAATTTGATAATAGATTATATATATACAAAACCTTTATTTAGATAATTTTACAAAATTAGTTCTTATTGTCTGGTTGAAATACATCAAAGAATTTACATGGGGCAAGGGGCGGGTTGCCTCTGACCTTTAAACTAGGTGTTAACCTGTATGTTTTGAATCGTTAGAGGTTTCTTGCTCCGGCCAGCCAGATTGATAGTCAGATAATACTCGATGGAAGACATTGTATTGTTGAGATTAAATTAACTTTTAAGACAATTGTCAAAGCAGAATGACTAGAGAGAAAATGTAATATTTTTTATTTTAAGACCTAAAAAGTTAAGTTAGTGTGATAACTTCACAGATTTACTGTCGCGTGAGTAATTAATGGTAGGTGTATGTATTTAAATGCATTTCTTCCTCCGTAGAGTACATCAGCTGCTTGTGTCAAGTTTAGACAAATTAAACACAAAAGGCAATACAACCCTTATTTACAACGAAAGCATGGCAACTTTGGAGAAGCTCTCTATATTGAAAGCGTGGGCGGAAGTGTACATAGTAGCTATGGTCAGCAACAATAGTGCTCCAGGTAGCTATGTGAAACAGCTCGACACGAAGCCCTACAATAATCAAGCCGAACTGGCCAAATGGCGTAACCAGTTATTGCAAAACGACAATCGAATAGATAATTCTGAGCCCCAGACACCCGAAGATGAAGAATACGGAGAATTCGAGTCTAAGGGTGAAAGTCTGTTGAAATTGGTCGAGCCAGAGTTGGAGAGCTTGGGAGAGAACTGGATAGCTGCACTGAAGGATCATGCGCTGCTGAGTTTGCCTCCCGGTGAGTTTAAAATTGAATATAGATATTTTTTAGCGAATCAGTTCCAAGTGAAAATATTCAGTGCATTAGTGACAAACGACGTTTGTATGGATGTCTTTACACGTCTGATGTGAAGTATAGATTTAATCATTTGTTGAATATGAGATCTCTATAATACGTAGTCGATTTAAGATAGTAAATAATGCAAGAGTGTGTGGGGGGTAGAGTTCGGGTCGCAGCTGCCCCACGGCGGGGGCGCGTTCTACTCGGCGGAGACGGCGGAGGGCTCGCGCCGACACTACGCGCGCGCGTGGCCGTCGCTGCTGTACGCCGCGTCGCTGCGCTTCAACGCGCGCGTGGACCTGCCGCCGCCCGCCACCGGTACCTAACCACCTACTCCTAGCTTCTACATTGTCTCTAAGCGATATCTGCGACATACGACATAGTGGAATAATTGTACTTACGCAGATATACACGCAACGATTAATCTATCTGATAAGGATTGAATAAATACTTTTTTTTTTATATATTATTATTATATATAATAGTGGGGGCAGACGAGCAGACGGGTCACCTGATGGAAAGTGATCATCGCCGCCTATGAACGTCTGCAACGCTTGCTTAATTCGACAGACGGGTTGGTATAGGGTTTGTTTCAAGTTTTCCTTCTCTATTGCAGTGCTGTTGTTCTGCATAGTTTGGTCCCACAGTCGGCTCTTAAGACACCCTTGGGATGAATAAGGGTGTTGACACTCTGTATTCTTAATCCGTCACCGATTTCAGAAATTTAATACAAAATCGTAATAGTAATTGAATGGCCCTTTAATATCTATGTTATACTGGCCAAATTTTGACAAATCTACATAAAAACATTTGGTTTAGGCATGTATGACAATTTCATGATTTTATTTATTACTAGCTAACCCGGCGAACTCTGTTCCGCCTTAAAGGCAATAAATAAGCCGATTTTCGAATTTAGTAAGTTAATTTTTTTCTTAGAAAAAATCTTCCGTCTTTGAAAAATTTTCGATGAAGCATTCCAAGTATAATAACGTGGCATCTCCGAGTAAAGCAAAGTTCGTGCAAACTTTTTTTTTTTTTTTTCGGAATGAATAATATCCTATGTCCGTCTCCTGGCTCTAAGCTACCTCCTCACCAATTTTCAGCCATATCGGTAAAGCCGTTCTTGAGTTATAAATAGTGTAACTAACACGACTTTCTTTTATATATATAGATTAATTACTGTAACTTATAATGTTAGTGGTTTAATTAATTTACAGATAAGTCTGAAGCACTAGATAACAGATCTACTAAAACCGAAAATGGAAACTTTGATTTTTTCGAGCCAATTGACGAAAGATTCCATTTGTTATTTGGTAAGACATATACACATTTAAGTATTCTTTATGAATTAATTATTCATCCAACATATTGCATTTGTTAATGTTGTAAATTGAAATTGTGATTTAAGGAATGTTTTCAAACTGTTACAGGTATATGCATGGAGGCGTTATGCGCTCAACGTGACATGAGCGACGAGAATACAATTTCGGTGCTATTATCATTAATGACACTTTTAGACGCGGCTGAGAACAGAGCGAGATTACTTAGAGACAGGTAAATATGATTGAAAAAAACCAAACCAGCTTAATTAAATGTGTCATGTTTTCAATGTCTCTCCACTCTTTCAGATCTTTAGCCATAGAACTGTGCCAAATTATCCACCGAACTGGTCTCACTCAAGAAAGTATTGAAGCACTATTATTGGCCGCTGATGTTCTGCGATTGGTCATTGATGGTGCCCGAGAGCAACTGCATGCTAATATGCAAGCTAAAATTAAAGGTATTATTAAAACTTTCTTTAAAATAATTCAATCAGCTACACATAATGTCCCTGGTTATGTAATTGGATGAGTGTGTAAACTGTAGGTATTCCACAAACCTAAATCAATAATATTTATAGGACATAGTAGCTTGTACTTGTAGTATCCAGAATAAATTAAATTTTCAAGTTGCACAGTGTAAGTTATATATTGTATAATACATTAATTATATTAATTTTTTATTGTCTCTAGTAGATCATACATTATCTAGGATTTAATGGATAGCCCAAAAATAAAGCACTTTTAGAGAAATAATTCCAGTTATTTTTCAACTTCAATACTTTCAACAGAACTAGCCCCCAACGAAACCACAGACGGCTCCACCCCTCAATCTGTCCTGGAAGTAGTCCACACTCTCGGCGAAGGTGGCCCAACGGGAGACTTGCCGCCCGGCAAGTCGGTAGTGTTCGCATGTCTTGAGGCGTGCGTGTGTCTCTTAGTACGTCGACTACCGGCCCTATCGCCAAAGAAACATGGTGGAGCTGTAGGTGTGATTGGAGTGCCCAAAGGTCTTGGTGTTCATGGAGATACGTTGTTGGTGAAAACTTTATCAGCTATGTCTGAATTGCCAAGTTTGACAAGCCCTCAAGGTAAGTAGATCTAAGCTCCACTACTTTCTATCGGTTCAGTTCGGTAGTGTCAGAAATTATAGAGAGACTAGACCCACTAAGCAAGATATTTGCTTTCAAGAATACTCCACACGCGCAATATGTATTTTTAGTGACAAAAATATTTTAGGTTCTGATTGATCACTGCGATTAAAATTTATTATTGAAATTAGTGTGTTTGACAGTTTGATTTTGCCATCAAACATAAATAGTTGTGTTGTATGCAAGTTTATAGTCTAATAATGATTTGAATGAAATTTTGCTTCACTTCGACGGTGCTATTTTTCATAAATCCTATAGCAAAAGATTTTCACAATTTTTACCACACTGTGATATTATTATGACTTCTTGCCTTTTTTAAAACATCCATGTATATAATTCTGTAGTAACTAATTTCTGTTTCAGGTGCCTTATCTATTCTGCCTACAATTCTGTACCTAGCTACAGAAATTCTCCGTGAGAGCAAAGGGGAAGGCGCCGCAGCTGAAGCAGGCGTGGTGTTGTTACAAAGGGCAGCTGAATGTCGAGTTGTTCGGGTACATGAACATACAAGACAACAGCATGCGCAATTGTTACAAAGTGCACTCGCTAAGTTGGTTGAAAGGGTTAAGAGTGGTACGTTATTCAAAATTGCATAATGGTTTTTTTTTTCAATGTACATCTATAATGTTTTATCAACATCTTGTTTGTAATAATGATTTATATTTATTATAATTTTAAATGTAGGAGTAGTTTATTAGTAATTAGTAGAGTAGAAGCTTACTCCATTTATAGTAGCCCAATAATATATCAGAGTATCTTCTGTTTACAGTCATCGATGACAGATGGTATTTAAGATATAGTTGTCTTGTATTTTTCATCGTCTGTAGAGATGTTAGTGTTGGGTGTAATTTATCAATAATATTGTTACGAGCGGGGTATACAATAAATAAAAGTTGGCGATTAATTACTTTTATTGCACTGTAATTACAAACACTCACTATCACAAAGAAGAAATCACCATATAACTTGTTAGTCGCACTAGAAATTCGCTTCGATGTTAATTCGCTGTGTCGTAAAACGATGCTGTCTTGTAATGCCAACACGCGCCGCTATTATAGTGCTATCGAATTTACTAGAATGTGATACCTAGTATTCGATAGTCCGTTCCAGGCAAAAGAATATTCCAGTATCAGTTATGCGGTACTTGCAGCGCCATCTAGCGTTTTAAGGATCAGAATTATTAATCAATCTCAATAGTTGCATTTTACGTGACTAGACGACGCTGTCCTCCACATTCTATACAATTCTGGAACAATTCGAATTATTTAATCCTATGGCGTAATAATATGTATGTATTTAGATATAGACATAAGTATTTTTATCAGTAGTTTACTGCAATACAGACTCTGCCTAGTTTGGGATGGCTGTGTGTGAGGTCTTCCTTCTGTACTTTTACTTGATGTCGTCTATGGGATACACTTATCGTGATCGTAAGACGTGTATCGTTCGTTACAGACGAGCCGGAACAACGCATCGAATCCGTGATAGGTGCTCGGGGCATGGTCGTCGTGTTGAGCAGAGCTGCGCCCGCGCCGCCTCTACACTACCCTTGTATTAATCACTTCAGACAATGCCTGGAGACGAACGATAACGAGGTAACGATTTTATTTAAATTTTCGGTTTATAATTATAAAAATTGAGCGTATGTAACGAGAATCGTGCACGGTGCGCAGGCGTTCGCGGCGTGCTGCGGCGTGCTGCGCAGCGTGTGGTCCGGCAGCAGCAGCGCGGCCTGCGTGTCGTGGTGGGCGCGCGGCCTGGCGCCGCGGGTCATCGCGCGCGCCGCGGCCGCGCGCCGGCCCGCCGACCTGCCGCACGCGCGCGCCGCCATGGCCGCCGTCTGCGCGCTCGACGAGCTCGTGCGCGCCGCGCCGCTCGCCGCCCGTCAGTACCGCCGCCTCTACCGCTCCTCACTGCACCTATACAGATATAAGCCTAGCGTAGCCTAGCGTAGCGCCGTTTAAAAACCGATTATAATTGAATTGGTCGTGATAAAAAAAGTCCCATTTAGAGAATTAAACGTTACACTCCACAGATCGTCATCGACAGCCCTTAACGGTCCACCGCTGGACGTAGGCCTCTCCTTACGATGGAAGTTAGGGCTTACTATACCACGTTAGACAGACGGGTCGGTATAGGGTTTGTTTCAAGTTTTCTTTCTTTTTGCAATGCTGTTGTTTTGCACAGTTCGCTCCCTTAATCGGCTCTCAGGGCACCCACAGACTGAATAGGGGTGGTGACACTGTATTCTTAATCCGTCACCTAACGAATAATGGAAAATGATTATTTAAACATATTGAACTCAAAAAACCATGCTTTTATACTCTTTTACATGGAATACGATGTGTAAAATCTTTGCATCACAAAATTAAAAATGTAGTGTTGTTGGTACACCAATATATCAATTATTTAAATGTATATTCAACACAAATGTTAATGTATTTTTTATTCAGCTGGCCAATGTCAATTGCCCGATAAACCTTTTTCTTTTATTAAACATTTTAGGTCATCTTTTCATAGATTAACACATTATTTAACAATAGAATATATAGTAAATTTAGAAAAAGTCTAATTTAGTGACAGTCATGTTCAAAATTTTGTAAATATTTTAACTGTTCTATGCTGCTTTGCAGATGATGGTCCTACAGGTAATCATATTTACAGTTAAAAATACTTTTGTTTCTCATAACTTTATTCAAACAAATTTATTCAAAAATTCAGTGCACCCAGTTGTGTATGTGTAAGTAAGGGTTGTATAATAAACATTACTATAGATAGTTCAACTCAGTTGTGCGCGCGGGCTTGTAAATATACAACTTTCATTCGTGTGGCAGTCGTCGTCCGACTGCCGCGTCACGAAAGTTGTATATTTACAAGCCCACGCACACATAGGGCCGCGCGCACAACTGAGTTGAACTATCTATAAAATATTCTTGCGACTTAAACTGATATGATTAATTTTAATCTAAAATTTATTTTATTCCAATGCAAAATCTGCTGCAACGAGAAAGTTTGACATTATTATGTAATCCTATGTTTGTTTTGCGTTACATACACAGTGTTAAATTTTCTGTGAAACAGTTTTCATATATTTTGTTTGTATTCCAGGTATTAAAATGCTGTGGCTACTGGTGCCTATCGTGATCTCCTATCTCCGTGAAGGTGCGGAGCTGGCGCGAGCTCCCCCTCACGTCCGGGCCCTGCACGAGTTTGCTTTGCACTGGCTTACACGAGTTGGACCTAAACATCCACAGGTAATAATCCTTTACCTTTTGATGTAATACATGCTGCCATATGTATTGTAGTTTATTCTTTATTTTTTATGGTCATCATCATCATCATCATCAACAACAACAACCTTTAATAGTTTACTGCTAGACATAGATTTTTTCTTTGAAAAGAGGCGTACAATTGATAGTAATGATTCGGAATGAGCCCAATCATAATTCTGTACCTACTACTAATCTAGCTAGGTCCAAATCTTGCCCTTTATTTTATCACGTTAGTCTATAATTTCCAGCCCGAATATCGTTATATCGAATATCATTTTAGATGTGACATCACATACCTATTATTTTGTGTATTTTGAAAATGTTTGGTTTATAAACTTAAAATTAATTTCTTTTTTTTTTATTAATAAAGCATATATTATTATGATGTTAAAAAAATAAGTTAAAAATAGAGGATGTGTTTTATACGTCATTGTAAAATAGTTTTTTGTTTCTTCTGAATAGCAAGCACAGATTATCAGATTATTTGATTTTTCAATGCTTATTAAACAGGGTTTAAAATTTTAGCTCGTGTAAACATACTCTTCTCTTGTTTATAGGAATTTAAAACAATGATGCAACAATCTTCTGAACTTCGCAATAAGCTTGAGAATGCTTTAAAAGCAAACCAGGCGAACGCACGGTCCGTCCGCGCTTCTCAAACGCAAAGGTCCGTGTTCGACGCCAAACCTGCTAAACCAACAATACAACTGAAGACCGACTTTAGTGATTTTAGGTAAAGTTATTGGAGTATGATGTATTTCTTAAGTGTACTGCAAGCATCATTATTGTGTAAAGCGTTCTGTGACGTTATGTGCAAAGTAAAACTAGGGGAAGAAACGATAAGGGAATGTGTTTGTATTGAAGTGTATATTTTTTTTTAAAAGAGTATGCACCTGCAATATAAAAAAAACCGCAGAATAATGTACAGGAAATACAGGAGTAATTGTGATCATACAATTACACACCAGTTCAGATTAAATTTTGCATTATTAAGAGGCTTTGATTGCATTTGATTTCCAATTTAATTAATTCATAAGTGCGACATTATGTTAATAAAACTTTGAATCTCTCCCATTCGCATTTTAATTTTAGTGTAATGCAAATAAGACTGATATGATCTGATGACAACTCTCATTTCGGAGTGTAATAAAACCAAGCTTTAAAAATGTAAAAACATTATTAATATTGATCAAACACATTCCTTTATTGCTGATAAAAGAAAAATTATTTGTTCTCAGACGAAGGAATTTTCTAAATGTTTAATGTTTTGTTTGTCTAATGGCTATCGCTTTCGAATGTCTTTGCATACAATTATAAATTACTCATTCGTTTCAGGAAAAATAATCAATAAGTAATAACTAAAATATATTTATATGATATGTTGGCTGCAACAAGAAACAAATAACAACAAAGACTGACTTCATTTCAATCAATCTACGGCTTTTTGGTGTTCGAAGGCGATTACATTATACTACTACATTTTCACCAAAACGCTGTAGGTGGAATGTAATTGGTCCGGCAGGAGAAATTCACCAATAATATTGGTGGCTAACAGATATTAAGTAATTCTATTACTGGGTTTTTTCTACGCGGCTAAGTGAAAATTAGTACGGTGTTTGTCTGGTAGTCCTAAACTTCAGTGCTATTCAATTATACATGTATCGGTAAGCATCAGTGACGAATAGTGAAAGTAGGAAGTTTCAAAATACCAGTAATGCTGGGTTATAATTTCTAATTGCAGGAAGTGCCTGAACAAATAAACGAATAATCCTTAAATATATATAAATAGTTTATCGAGATATTATTAAATATTATCTTCTTTGGCTAGTATAATAGGTCACAAAGGAAAATAGATCGGAATTGTGTTAAATGGTCACATCGCTATTGCTTTCCTCCTCTTCTAGGCAAGCTTACATAGTAGAAGACAAATCTCAATTTCATTAAGTTATTTAAATTTGATTCATTTTATTACTAAACATTTTAGAACACTATGTAGTTTCAGTCCAAATGTGGACCTAGTCAGAATAATCTACAATTGAAATTACAAAATTTATATACCAGTGAAGATGAAGAAAAAATCGTGTATATAATGTTTTAGTTATAATAAAAACATTGATGTTATTAAAAATACGCAGGAGGTTATTCAATCTTTGCTATCCGGTTAATTCAGGACAATAATTATATCTTGTATCATGCTAAAGAAATATCTGCTTTATCTCTAATCGAGATTTATTCGGACAAAACGGTATCTTCTTCGGGTTTCAGAAACTTTTATTCTCATTAAGAATAACATTCACTTACATGAGAACATAATTATACAATTTACAATATATTTATATGGAGCGGCAAATCTAAGTAGTTAATACAAAGCAAGTAAAAAATAAATAATTAACTTCGAGGGTAAGTGTGAATACTTTGGCAAACTAAAATATTGTAGAACTTGTTCTGTTATCGCAGAGTGCAAAGATCAAGGGTAGCTAGATGTGGTATGCATAGTGTGTAATTAATTTGTGGAGCGTATAAGTTCATTTGATGTTATTTATTACATGATTTTTTAATAAAAATTTATACCTTTTGATGTTCTTTGCTTCTTTGATAAGTTTTGGTAGCATATTATACATTTTTGCTCCCTGATACAAAATAGTTTTACTCCCGTAGTTTGTCCGGGGTTTTATTAAGTTTATGTTATTGGCAGACCTTAGTTTAATTTTTTGTGTTAATGTTTTTTTACTAAAATTTATTTGTGAGTGTATAGTTTTTCGTGAGTATTTTTCTTACTAATATGCAATTATAGTAGTGATAAGTTTGTGATAAATTCATAATTTTGGTGTCTTTATAAATTTTTAAAGAAGGTGTCTGGAAATCATAGTTAAAAAGCCTTTTCATTAATTTATTTTGTGCGATCTGTAGCTGGGCCAAGTTAGTTAGGGCAGCTGTGCCCCAGATTTCTATTAGATAATCTAGGTGTGGTTTAATTAAAGAGTTATAGATGGTATAGCGTATTGGACGCGTGATACATTTTGTGACATTTTTTAACATTCCCATGAGGGAAATAAGTTTCGATTTTGTTTTATTAAGGTGTGGTTTCCACGTTAGGTGACTGTCCAAAATTAAACCGAGATATTTCTCCTGATCTACTTTATTAATGGTTATATTATTTATAGTAAGTGGCCTATGATGCAATATTTTTTTGTTTTTAGCTGAAAATATCATGTAATTTGTTTTTGATGTATTAATTGTTAGGAGATTATGAAGAAACCAATCGTTCAAGCGATCCAAATCTGCTTGTGCATCCGCAATTATTACTTGGATTGAGTTGCCAAAGTAAAACAAGCTTGTATCGTCAGCATAAAGTGTTATGTCCCCTTTTAAACCAATTTCATGAATACTGTTTATGTAAACAAGAAACAGCAAGGGTCCCAGGATGGATCTTCTTATAGGAGATATCCATTGTAATATCTTTTATTGTACAACGTCATTGACAATATTATTCCTGGTACCCCATTTTCTCAAGAGTATTGAATTACCGATTTACTACAATATTTCTACTCAAACTCTCAGATTTATTTTGTTTGAATGATCTTTAATTTTTTACGTTCTTGTATCAATACTGGCTGACGTGTGACGAATGTTGTACGGCCATTATTTAGTAACTATAGTGAAATGGCGATCCCAATATCGGTCCCACTTCTCGATAGAAATAATCCTGATAGTTATAAGTTTTATTTATCAACTCATTTACGTTCTTAATTTATTATTGATAAATATCGCATTTTTATAAACACAATAGTGATGCAGTAAGCACATGTCTTATTTTAAACACTAAAATAAAAAATGAATTGATGTACGATAAATTAAGAAAATTATGCACAATATAAAGAAAATACCTTATATGAAATAACCATTCCATAACAATATTTTTAATGAGTTTCACATAATTATTTTAAAGTATATTCATGGATTAACATTGTATACGCATTATTTTTTCACCCTAATAGAGTATTCATTGATAGATTATTATAGATTTATATTAATATGTTGAGAGAAGCTTAGCGTTCTCTGTGGTAGGCAAAAATATTCCTAAAAATCATACGATTATATAATTAGTGGAGATAGATTATATGAAATACTAGCATGTATAATGGAAAAGCTGTTTTCAAAATTGTTTGTCCAACTTAGACCTTTTTGTTAATCTGCAGTTCATTAGACTTTGTTGGTATAACAGTTTTATTTATTCATAGTCGTATTATTATACAACATACAATAACATGTAGACAGCAAAGTGCCAATAAGTCCTAACTGACGAATATGTAAGTTTGTTGAAAAGTTTGAACAGGTATTTTGAAAAGGGCTTATATAAGAATGGACCGTTATTATAAACGATGAAATTATTGAAAGTAATGCTGTGATAATCCCCTTGTACAGAATCGATATGTTTGGGGGTGACATGTTTTGACTAACCAGGATTGTGATATTTGAGTAGCAGTCAGCCTTATAAGTCAAAATAGTTAGGATTACAAATAACAGATAAAAAGAGCTAATAAGATATGAATTATATGAAACTGTACGGTATAAAATTAAATTTAAAAAAGATTTAAAAAAAAATCGTCTCGAATTTTATATTACCAAACAGAAAGAAACAACTTGAGTGAAACATGTCGTCTCCTTACAATCCCAACATTAACAATTTCGGTAAAACTGCAAATGTAACGCAATAAAATAGAAAAGTAATAAATTTACCACTTTATTTTGAAACATATTTCGTTGACGGTTAGATTGAATTCAGCAAAGTGAAAATTGTGGCATATACACCCCTCTGGCTGACATCTCTTTAATTAATGACTGCAGGTCAAAACAAGTATTATCTTGGAATTCAGTCTTTCAAAGATCTCTTACATCACTGTCATAAGTTTTATTACGTTTCATTTGCAGCAGCAACTGTAAGATCCTGTATGCCAAATTTAAAATATAAAATATTATATTTATTAAAATTGCTTCAAGTTTTTGAGATTTGGGTTTACCGACTTGTTTCTGCGCAGTCTGCTTTGTAACTAATATTAATTTTCATTTGCTACTATACTATTAGGGAAAAATTAAATATCCATCTTGTATAGTCATGAAAGTCTATCCCTCAGGATTCTCTTTCGAGTATTGTAACGTTTCATCGCAATATGTAATGCAAATATGAATGAAAACGTAACAGACTTTTGTTTCTTGGCATTATTGTAAAGTAGCAATTTTATGACCTAGCCGTCTTATTCATAAAAAAATAAATGTACCTAAATCATTTTATGATTTTTATCCTATTTAGAACGGCAAACCTACGAAAAACCTATGAATAAGACGGCAAATCTTTATTTTTAATGTCAGCTAATTAATTTTCAATATCATTTTTAACTTATAAGAACCTATTTATTTAGTTTAAGTTGCCAATTTGTTACTGCAATTTATGCTTTTGGTTTAATAAAATATTTAACATAGTATATGGATTTGATTTAAAAAAAAAAACTGGTTTTTTCTAAATGGGTCTTGTGAATTGAAAAAAATTGCCGGTTTTTTCTAAATGGGTCTTGTGAATAGATTGCTGTTTTTTTTTCACGGACCACTGTGGAAGGTTTGGTCGGGAACGTCTTCACCTCAGGCTCCGATCACATTTAATTCATTTACATATTCTAAGTAGGTAGGTGCTCTGTGCTTGTCTGATGTTGTGTTCCATACCTACGTCGATTATTCGTAAATTATGAAGGTAGCGAGGACGCTGGATAGTGATATTTATCCTAAATGGGTGAACCTATAGAAATTGCTAACTTAGCTAGAAGCACATATGTTGTTCTAAATCTGACATACATAACCCAGTGACCTGTTTAAAACTAAGACTGAGTGCAAGTTTATTTCACATCGACTCGCTCTCGACGACGGGGTAACGTTTGAAACGTTACCGCAGCCAGACCTTTTCTTTTTGACGTGACAACGTCTTATAATTCGATGGAGCCGGCTGCACGCACGAAAAAACACGTTTAATTGGAATATTGAAATAAATTTTAGCTAAATAATTAGTTATCTGGACGAGGTAAATGTTACAACTTATTTGGTATTTGTATTTTCTTCGGCTGCGAAGTTATTCGAGATCCTGCTGGAGTAACGTTTGTGGGTTTGCTGGATCTCTGAAACGGGTAAACGGATTGTAACCATCTTTTGTACATAACTGTTTAAGGATTCGTTTTAATTTGTTCAACAATAAAATATTAAAAATAATGGACCGTTTTAAAATCATTTAAGTAAGTATGAAAACACTTCAATACGTCCTAACATTTTAAAAGCCAGCACAATGTACTGGGTGATCGCTTTTTTTGTGACCACCTAAACATGGTCGGGTTATCACGGTCTTGCACCTTCTAATGACTTTTATTTAATTATCTCGTTAATTATTATATGTACGACGCTGAAATTTTACAGGTAGACAACTGAACTAAACAACTAATTATTGGCATAACATACAGTTTATATATCCACACACAGGTTTATCGGTAGGCAAAAAAGGCCGCACACATTGTGATCGTGAACGTGGAGAGCTACATTTCATCATAACTGTTTAGTCTCTTATAGTATACTTACAAAAATTCGTATACATTTGAAGGTAGTTACAAGCAATAGAATAACGTTTAAAGTAAGTCTTTAGAGGTCTTATTCAAAGTGTTAGGACGTATTGAAGTGTTTTCATACTTACTTAAATGATTTTAAAACGGTCCATTATTTTTAATATTTTATTGTTGAACAAATTAACACGAATCCTTAAGAAGTTATGTACAAAATATGGTTACAATCCGCTTACCCGTTTCAGAGATCCAGCAAACCCACAAACGTTACTCCAGCAGGATCTCGAATAACTTCGCAGCCGAAGAAAATACAAATACCAAATAAGTTGTAACATTTACCTCGTCCAGATAACTAATTATTTAGCTAAAATTTATTTCAATATTCCAGTTAAAAAAGAAAAGGTCTGGCTGCGGTAACGTTTCAAACGTTACCCCAACAGGGAATGTTTTTTTTGAAATAACTAAAAAAAATAAGTGAAACAAATTTAAAAATGTGCCTAACAATTACAGAACTACTACAACTACTAATTATCATAACTAATTATCTATAACGTTTAAATGACCATTTTCGACATTATTTTGCTGGGGTAACGCACACCTACTCGTCGTATAAAAAGGCACGTTGTATACTAGTCTTGTGCTTAATCGGACGTCCGCAGGTTCGCACCGTTACTAGTACAATTCGTACAACGTACTAGCACACCGTAATAGTACTATTAGTACAGATTTAGTAGAAGTAGAAATCTTAAGCGTTTCTATTGATATTACCAACATTAATGAAACGGAATACTAATAATTAAAATACGTAATTAAAAAAAATGTGTTATAGTTTTTTTTTTATAGATGGCTTTGTATTAGGCAGTTACTTTTCTTCAGTATAGAAATAATTACACAGTTCTTGATTATTTTTAATGTGTTATCCCTTTGTGAATCCCATAAACCCTAACAGTTTGACTTTTAAATACGTTTTTTAGATAACTTTACACTAAATTTTTAAGCATACTATTTGATTTTCCTTCATACTTTACAACCCAACGTATTGTAGTACATCCTATATTGCTGTCCCTTTTACTCTGACACTGTTTACCAATACGGAACAATAAAGCGGAGCATTAATAGTCCGTCGCACAGCGGACAGAAATGACCAAACTCATATACCTTTTTCGATGATGAGGACAGTCCACATTTGATAACCCAATCTGAACTCAACGATCTTATAAGAGATTTGCAGTTGTCTAAGTCAAAAGCGGAATTACTTGGCTCCAGGCTGCAACAGTGGAAATTGCTTGATCCTAGTACAAAAGTAAGTATTTATCGCTCTAGAAGTAAGACGTTTGCTGTTTTTTTTTTACAAAAGAAAATGAGTTTTGTTGTTGTCATGACGTCAAGGGACTTTTTGAAGAAATGAAACAGCCATATGACCCTAAAGAATGGCGCCTTTTTATAGATACATCGAAGGAAAGTCTTAAAGCTGTTCTTCTGCATATTGGAAATGCAAAGCCGTCTATTCCTATAGGTCATGCTGTAAATTGTAAAGAATCATATGATACAATGGCCAAATTGATTGAATTGATTGAATTGATAAAATATAAATGTCACAATTGGTACATTTGTGGTGATCTAAAAGTTATAAGTATGCTTTTGGGCTTACAAGGTGGATACACTAAGTACTATTGTTTCTTATGCCTATGGGACTCTAGAGCAAAACAGGATCATTATAAAAGAAAAATTTGGCCTGTACGAAGTGAATATGTTCCAGGTAAGATGAACGTAAAAAATATTTGTTTAGTTGCCCCAAAAAAAAAATACCACCGCTTCACATTAAGTTGGGCTTGATGAAATTTTTTACCAAAGCTTTGGATAAGTCCAAGCCTGCATTTCAATACTTCTGCTCTGTATTTCCGAATCTTTCTGCGGCTAAATTAAAGGAAGGAATATTTGTGGGTTTTTTCCAGAAAGCTTTTCTTTCTTTTCTTCTTTTTGGTAGTGTGAGTGATGAACACGGTGAGCGATTTCATCAAGATTTAAAATCATATGAGCAAAATTATCAAGGTTTTTGGGACCAAAATATGCTAGGTGACTGTTGTTGGTCTATTGTAAGAGATACAGATGAAAATATTTATAAAAAAGAGCAAAAATTACTCATTTTTAACTGCCTGTTTATTTAGCTGTAGTTTTTTTGTAAAAATCTTCTTAATAAATATGTCAAAAAACTGACGTGCTGGATTTTTATAAATATTTCTCAAGATCTAGATATCCAAAGTAACGTAACCATATATATTCCATTTTATAAACAAAACTTGTGTTATTTATATCGTTTGAAAACAATACAAAAATGGTTATTTACTACAGAGTTTTTAACTTATTAATCGAATTTTAATAACTTAGGTAGGTAATACCTACGCGTGGTCGGACGGTCCTACAAGAACTAAACCCGCTAAATATATCAATATATCACACATATAAAAAATCTTTATACAGTTTATAGGTGCTCCGTCATATTGGTACCTCGGTAAAATCAAGAAAATGTACTTACCGTTTACAACTGTTTTAAATCGAAAAAAAATGGTTTCAAACGGTTTGGTTTAATTGGTTTTAAACCGGCCTTACATCTATAATCAAGACACAAAAGACCAGCCTCTTTTAATATTTTTATTAATTTTGTTTAATATATTCTTGCATTAAACTTCAAAGCACGCCCTTATTGCCATTTTCTGTAGAAATTTCTTCAGACGTTTCAATTTTTGATTTCTTTGCTTTGTCTGAAATATAAAGCGATTTAAATGTTAACATAATAGAGATCTTTCCTTGTTTTTGTGACATCGGTAGAATCTTGATATAACTTGATTTAGCCTAAATTCAAGGAAGAGCAAGTTGCAGGTAAAAATGTAGGTAATTTTAGATGGATGTAAATGTAGACTACGTAATATATATCTTACTCCTAGCAAAAACAGGTGGTAATGTCGCTACAGTGAGATAGCCGGTATGTCCGGGAGTGCTCTGAGGCCAGGTCCCCACCACGTAGCTCGTTTCGCTGTTAGGTTTCTCTTCAACTGGACACTCGGAACTCTGAAAAAGAATAATAAATGATTAAATAAGACCATGCATTTTAATAGTGAAAGTGATTATATTTAAACTAGTAATGTGCACATTACACTAACTATGCCTGTTTCATACAATTGTATTTTCATTCATTCATCAGCTTATCGCAATCAAATACTTTAATAAATATAGTCTATCTGTTGATAAGCGGGGAAATGTGTCAAAATATTTATTATTTGTTTTTTGCTACCCCTTATTCCGTGGATCCACAATCCTACTCATATATAGGGATCACAGTATAGGGCTGTAAGTAAGAGCTATGTTAAAACTGCCACTGTAATACACCTAATACTACTACTGTGCATCGATTTTATGCGGCAGCGCCCAGCGTCATTCTGGTTTCTTGTGCTAGTCAAATGGATTCGGTAATCTTTACGGCGCTGTTACTGTCGGCGCACCGGATAGGCCTGTTCTTTGGTGGTAAGTAACAGCGCCTGGCTGCTGTTACTTACTACCAAAGAACATTTTTACCCAGAAATTTAACTTTTGCATAGTTTTAATCCTATTTGTTAGAAACTGAAACCAAAATAATAAAATGTTCACATCTTTCACAGTCTGAGCTTGAGTTAAAGCTTCGCACTTCTATCGTTTTTATAGTAATTGTCCACAAATCAAATACTTGGATCAAAATTATCACCTAAAATCACACTCACTTAGGTAAGGCAAGGTAATTACGCATCGCTCATTAGCGGTAGGCTGGCAAAGAATGATGGAGCGATGACGTCACCTCATCATCGCTTGGTAAACGACTAACAGACGTGAATACGAGTCATGAGCCATTAGGCCCCTGCCGACCGAATACGTGCCTGTACAGAGTGTACAGTCGTCGACTAAAGTGTGAATTAAAGGATATAATTATTGACTATTGAAAGGTAGTACGGAGAGATACAAGAAAAAACCGTCATATTTAGTTTTCCAGATTTACATTTTGGGACTTATTTTTGCAAAAAATACCTACGATTGATGCTACTTTCCTTGTTTATAATGCTAAATAAGAAGAAAAAGAAAAAAAATTAAAAGTTTCAAAGGAGTAATAAAAAACTTGATACCAATTTTGAAAAAAAAAACAATTACTTGTGATTTACCGATTTAGAACAAATATTTAATGATTTAGAAAATTTCCTTCCTTAAATATCCATGATTTGTAGGACCTTCATGGCGGAACACTTATTTGTTACTTCAATTGATTTCGATATGAATGCTACGAACTCGGTTAGGTGACATAGCAGATTCCCACACCTACGCATACAAAACATTTTATACTATGATAAAAGTACATGAAACATACCTAATACTGAATAGTATTAGATAATGTTGTTTATGATAGTACATTTGATGCATCAAGGAGGTCAGGGCGCGGCATAATTATGGATGTCATGGCTGGGGCTTGTTGCATCTCGTCCTTCCAGTATCTATCAGAAATATTTGATAGCTGTCTGTTCAGCAATTTATTTTAATATTATTTCTGTAAAACTTGGATAAAACATGTCATTGCGGCGCTGAATGTTAGAAAGAGGGAGGAAGCTTAAAAAAATCCAAACGCCTGGATGAAAACAGGAAAATTTAGTAGGTACTTATTAATAAACAATCAAATCATTAGGTTACGGTTATATATAATCTAGTTAGCGAAAGGGATGTCTTAGAGACGTTGTAGATGCCAAATTGTCGCCTGCGGTTTTTTCCTACCGATACGACCTTTAAACCTTCAAAAAAAGAGCCTAACGCCCCGGCCAACCAAACGGCCAAACCACATATTTCAAAGAGAGCAGAGTTAAAAGCTTGGCTCTACATGAGGATCTGATAACTTTTTGACAATACAAGCCACATGGTCTCGTCTCGGTAACACTTTACATTAAAATATTTTTAGTAGGATAGCTTTTACTTCGAACTACCAAAATACTATAAAATCCCTAAAACAGAGAGTACTTTCTTGGTTGGTTTTTCCTTATCGAAATTCCAGAGCTTAACTATTGCGTTTTCTAATTTACTGGATACGAAACAAAAGCGAAAATTGTCGTTGCTAGTAGAAGTGCTATTACAACAGCTCTCATAAATAAACATAAAATCTATTATGTCATAGTCGGCGCTCTAAACAAAAGCTGTTGGCGCAATGCGAGCTTCAGTTGTTCTGGCTGGCTAATAAGAGGGGACATCTCTGTGCCGGTACACTCTGTGATTATTCCGCCGCTTGGCGCCACCACAAGCGCCTTGTCATTTGTAGGATGCCTAGATTTAGGTGCTAAGGTAGGCGGTCGGCAAACACCGTATTATAGATTTAAGTTTTTATATTTACGAACTTGTTCAGTTTATCCGTTAAGGATAAACTGTAACTGTGCAAAGTAAATATAAAAAAATCTGCTTGAAAGGCAGTTTCGATAATGATAGCCTAGAGAATAGTGTGGACTTGTTTTGCGCTGCCTGTGATTGACCTCCGTTGCCATAGCCATTTCATTTAGAAGGTTCAAGAAAGTTTAGATGATAGAACCGTCTCTTTTTTTCCACATACGTTTTTTGATAAGCTCTACATTCACCTTATTATTGCAGTAAGTAATGCTATTAAAGCAATTTAAGCATATTATGTTGTATAGGATAAAGTACTTTCTGGGTGGAATAGGAAACCACGGCTAAGCAGTCAATATCACTAGGCAATTAAACAGACTAGGCATTTCAATTTCGCGCCGACCGTGGTTGCAGTTTAAATATTCAGAAAAGTCAAAGGTTATTCATCATATATATTATTTCTATAAAATTTATTCAACTACTTGTGCCGACGTCTAAACTCAATCGTTGGTAATAACCACGTAAGTGTATAAAGTCATAATTGGGAACCTTGACAGAATTGTGGCGAAGATTACACTAATTTAACCCCGGCCTAGCAAGTGTCTCGTAACCGCAGATGAACTACGTATGAAGGCCTTGGCCTCATCTAAAACTTTTACATTTAATAACTTTAGAATAATACTTTGTCCAAATAAATTACTCACGGAGCTTAAATATTAGGACCCTTCATAAAAAGTACTGTGCAAATATTTGCACGCTTGGTGACATTCGCAATAAAAACAAATACTTATTGAAAGTGTGAGGGCCTTGCTCATCGCAAATAATAATTAACTTGCATTGCACTGGCACATTTACAAAGATATCAAGGCATTAACTGTTGAAAAACAACATAATGTCGAAGGCATCGCTCGATGTTTACGCATGCTCAGGACCGGCGCGGGCGCACGCACCGTAATTACGTAACATAAATTCAGACTCGGAACGCGCTGTGATCGATGGACCGTTGCGTTCCGAAACACAACAAAACCATGTCCACTTGTTACATTTTGATTTATTATATCAACTTTATTTAGATCGGATTGTTAATTTTAGTCTAACCATATCTAACCCACGTTTTATTACGCGGCAGTAAATCCGTCAGGTATGCGTCGAATGTTTTAGATTGAATATATTATAATACAATAGGACACATTCAAATTCACCTCCATCAGTGAACATGAAATAGATAAGCTTTTATAAAAAGAAAACGGACGACATACTCTTCCTAATACAAACGATGAAACAGCCATAAAACCCAGATTATAACATAAAACCTTCATGCTGTCAACACAGAATTTAACCTCTCCACTGGATGACATAAACGAAAAAGGAAATAAAAAAGATTTTGAAAAAAGAATAACGAGTAAAGAGGCGCATTAAGAATTGAGATAAGAGAGATGGACGGGCACTCAGCGCGCGGCGGACTTTATTATTTATTGACACTTAAAATAATTACTGGCCGCTTGGCCCGTGCCGAATGTGGCCACTCGTGTCGAAGACCTTATGTTGATACGATTGAACTAGAATTGATTTATATGAACAGACTTAATGTAAATTGAGGTGGTTTTTGACATAAATATTTTCTATTACATATATTCTATCTTAGCTTCTATCTTACCGAGTGGTGACGGATTAAGAATACGGAATGTCACCACCCCTATTCATCCGAGCCGACTAAGGGAGCTAACTATGCAGGACAACAGCACTGCAAAAAGAGAAGGAAAACTTGAAACAAATCCTATATCAACCCGTCTGGCCAGCGTGGTATAGTAGGCCAAAAGCTTTCTAAGGAGAGGCCTATGTCCACCATATTTTTGCTCTCAGATATAAGTGATATGATCTACTTAAAGAAAAACTCGACCGAGTTTAGGTATAAAGTTTTAACTAGCATTTAAAAGATGTCTGCCGTCCAAGTTCCAATATTTCAATCTTAAAAAAAATTCAAAACATAAATCCAAAATGCAAATGATCCGACAACCGAAAAGAAACATCGATAAAATGTCACTTGGCTGCCAAAACGGTTACAATAAACAACTGCTATCACCGGTGCATGTATCTGTCGCCGCCGGCCGCTGACAAACTGACGACGGATTTAGACATTCATCCCGGACACTTATAAATGAGAAATAAATAAAACTTAACTGTAGGATTACCAGAACGTGCTTTCAACATCAGACAAATGGGAGATTCGATGATAAATGTGTTTATCTCGAAAATTTTAAATTTAATGGCTTATAAAAATTAATTTTAAGGAAAACTCAGGTCTTCAGGATCAAAACGTTTCTAATTTGTATATGTTTAGATCTAGTCTATCATCAAGAGCCTTTAATAGTCCACTGCTTGTCATTGGCCGCTCCTTAGAAAGGTGGTTTTGGGATACTATACCACGCTGGCCAGACGTAGGTATAGGGTTTGTTTGAAGTTTTCCTTGTCTTTGCAGTTTCGTTGTCCTGTGTAGTTTGCTCGGAATGAACAGGGGTAGAGACACTCCCTGTTCTTAATAGTCACCACATTGATATTATTTTCGGTATTTTACACTACCAAGTATTTTTGAAGCATTTGTATACCTACAAATGTAAATTTAGAGACAGAAAAGTTCTTGATATAATTAGCTCTATGTGACTATGATTAAAAAAAACTATAAAGTG